CGAAGGACGTCGACACCTCTAGCGGCAAGGGCCGAAGCGACGGGGAGGCGTTGTGCTCGATGGTCGGCGTGGTGGAGCCGACAGTCTCGCTGGCGCCGGAGGCTGGCGAGGACTTCCAGGCAGTGGCGGCAGCTGTGCAGGCAAACCCGATGGCGGTGCTGCTCGACAGCGGTTGCTCCCACCACCTGATGGGGACGAAGGCGGTCTTCGTCGACATGGCGCCGAGCGACAGTGTGAAGCACGTGCGCGGCTTCAATGGGGCGTTGCAGCCTGTCGAGGGTCGTGGAACCGTCGCTCTGCAAGGGGAGGCCGGGAAGCGGGTCCTCATCCCCGACGTGCTCTACATCCCGGTAGTACAGGAAAACCTACTGTCAGTTGGCCAACTGAAGGAGAGCGACGTGCAGCTGCAGGGCAACCTCGACGAGATGCTGCTCGTTGCCGCGACCGAGGAGGTGCTCGGTCGAGCACGCTACATGGGTCGAGTCCTCTGCACCAACCTTCGTCCGTGCTCGACTCGGTTGCCGTTGACCGAGGTAATGGCTCTGCGGACGATCGCCTCAGCGACGAAGTCGACCCCCGACCGCTAGCATGCGAGGCTCGCGCCCGTTGGCGTCGACACGATCAAGAGCTCGGCGAAGCATGAGGTTTCTACTGGGCTCGACATCAAGTCGTCGATCAGAGTGGACCCGCCATGTGTCTCGTGCGTCGGAGGAAAGCTGGCGCGGCACACCTTCCCCGACAAGGGCTCGGGCGCCGATGAGGTACTGGCTGTCGTGCACATTGACTTGTGCGGGCCATTTTGGGTGGCTGCCAAGGACGGCAGCTTGTACTTCCTGCTGCTGAAGGATCGCCACACTCGGTTCATGTGGGTGATGCCAGTTGCTAAGAAGAGCAACGTGCTGCAGGAGTTCGAGAAGTGGCTGGTGCTGGTGGAACGGCAGACGAAGAAGTCGGTGCTGATGCTGTGCTCAAACAGAGGAGGGGAGTTCCTCGAGAAGGAGTTCACCAACTTCGTCGACGGGAAGGGCATCGTCCACGACCTGACATGCCCTTCGTCAACACGACCTGACGTGCAGCAGAACGGCATGGCTGAGCGGGAGATGCGCACGGTCGTCGAGTCCGTGCGGACGATGCTGCTGCACATGGGCGTGCAGCATCACTGGTGGCATCTTGCTCTACGAAAGGCCGGCTAGGTGCGCAACTGCCTGGAGCGGTCGATGACGCCGCCGGGGACAACACCGTACTTGATGCTGACAGGGAAGAAGCCCGACCTCTTGCTGGCGCGGGTGTGGGGCTGCATGGTGCAGTTCATGGTTCCTGAGCAGCAGCGCGGTGGGAAGCTGGCACCGAAGGCTCGCTGGGGGCTTCACCTGGGTGTGTCGCCGGAGAGCAAGGGCTGGGAGGTGCTGGACTTGACCGACAACAAGGTGGTCACGTCGGTCGAGGTGATCTTCTACGAGACGCGGTCACTGGAGATGTGGAAGGCGAAGTATGGGCCGGCGTCGGGGCGGACGCAGGCACACCCGCCGACGGACACCTCGACGGCGACGGTCCTGCTGCTCGCCGAAGTCGACGAGCCTGCTGATGAGGACGTCGAGGAAGGTCTCCCTCCTCCCCTTGCTCTTGCTCCTCCCACCCCCGTTGCAGATCGGCTTGTGTTGACACCTCTGTCGGCCACCGGCGATGTGGGGAGCCTTGAGGAGGTCGCCTGTGGCGCCAGCCAGTGGCATCGTTGACGGCCAGTAAGGCGCTAAGCTCGTCGACCACGACGGGAAGCCGTCAACGACAGGGGAGCAGCGGACAGGGGTGCAGTCGACAGGAAAGCAGCAGACGGGACAGTCGAGAGGGGAGCACTCGGTCGAAGGGTCAACGCTGGCGAAGCAGCACGTCGACGACGAGGCGGTCGACGATGAAGGGGAGCTGTCGGAAGACGAGGAATCCACCGACAGTGATGTGGTGGAGGTTCCGGTCGAGAAGCCTGCGCCTGAGCTACGGCGTTCGGGCTGCGCTCGACGGCCGCCTGAGCGGCTGAGTTTCCACGCATGTCTGCCACTAGCCGCCTTCACGACGCTGCTCGAACGCCGATGCTGATCTTCCAGAGCTCGACCCCGACGTGCACGCCGACCCCGAACACCGCTGGGACATCGCGACGATGACAGTGAAGGAGGCGCTAGCAAGCTGGAAGGGCAAAGCAGTGAAGGCTGCTATGAACAAAGAGATCCGTAGCCTTGTCAGCAATGGCACTTAGGAGCTTGTCAAACGCCCGCGCGGTGAAAACATCATGAAGAACCGGTGGGTGCTAGCAGCAAAGTACCATATCGACGACACTGTCGAGCGCGAGAAGGCGAGGCTGGTCGTGAAGGGCTTCACGCAGGTGTACGGTGCCGACTATGACGACTATGTACGGTGCCGGTGAGCAGCTACGTCATGCAGAGGATCTTCCTCAGCATCGCTGCCGTCTTCAACCTCAACCTGATGCAGCTTGACATGAAGAACGCCTTCCTGCAGAGCAAGCTCGACCAGGTGCTGTACATGTACCAGCTGGACTACTTCGACGAAGGGACCGGCCGAGTGTGCAAGCTGCTGAAGAGCCTCTACGGACTAAAGCAGTCGCCGCTGCTGTGGTACAGGGCTCTCGACGGCGTGCTGCTGGGCGCTGGCTGGAAGAAGAGCCAGGTCGACGAGGCGCTCTACTTCAAGGTCGGCGACGACGGAGTGACCTGTTGGGTGCTGGTCTATGTCGACGACCTGCTCGCCGCTAGTAGTAGCACCGCGATGCTTGAGGAGCTGAAGGAGCTGCTGGAGGCCGCCTTCGAGCTGCGCAAGATCTCGCCGGTCGTGAAGTACCTTGGACTAGAGATCTTGCGAGACAGGACGGCAAGGAAGCTATGGCTGCACCAGCAGGGCTACGCCGACAAGTTGCGTAGGCGCTTCATCGACGAGGAGCAGACCGGGCGCATCCCGAAGACGCCGGTCTCGGTCGACGCCTACGGCGAGATGACATTTGACGACGAGGAGGTGCAAGAGCGCGAGGAGGAGGAGTACCGGCAGAAGGTTGGCTCGCTGCAGTTCGCGGCGACGACGACGAGGCCGGACATCGCGTTCGCCTGCAGCAAGCTGGGGAGCGGCCTCACGAAGAGGAGCGACTAGGACTGGCGTGAGGTCGGCCGCTGCCTCGCCTACCTCGCCGACACCCGCGACACCGCCCTGGAGTTCGGCGATGGACTAGAGTCGCTGAAGGTGGTCCGCTATGTGGACGCCGACGACGCGGGCGACAAGCAGAACCGGACGAGCACGGGCGGCTACGTGTTCGTCTACAGAGGGGCCGCTGTCTCCTGGTCGAGCTCGCGCATCAAGTGCGCGACATTGTCGTCGACCGAGTCGGAGTACGTCGCGGCCACGGACGCCGGCAAGGAGGGGCGTCGACTTCGCTTCCTCCTTGCAGAGTTCAAGCTGCTCGATGCTGGGAAGCCGACCGTCCTTCGGGTGGACAACAAGTCGGCGATCACGGTCGCTGAGGGCTTGGGGCTGATATGCAACCTCAAGCACATGGAGTGACGCTACGCCTGGCTGCAGCACATGGTGAGGCGCGGGAAATTCGTGCTGAAGTACATCCCGACCACCGAGCAGCCTGCTGATTTTCTGACCAAGGCGCTGCACTTTTCGGCCTTCAACTGGTGCTCCGTTGCGATCGGCCAAGTGCGCCTGGCCAACGTCGGCGACGGGGACGACGATGTGCAGCAGTAGGTCCCGTGCCCTTCTGCACGGCTAGTGCGGTGACGGCGTGCTGAGTGTAAGGTGCACGCCGAGGACGAGTTTTCTCCATGGGGTACTGCCGTGTGGGTGGGGAGCCCAAGCGTGAGCGCGACAGGGGAGTGTAAACGGGAATGGAGTGTTTGCCCCGCCCTCGCTTGGGCAACGTCGACGACTTGGTCGGATGTACGGGAGAAGCAGCAGACCAACTGTTCACAGTGAGGGAGCTGCTCGACGGGCTTCGTCGAGCTGCAGGGGATCGATGTGGTGTTGCCGTCGACCAGGGGTGCTCGACGGCCTTCCTCTGCTGGGCAGGTCGACGAAGTAGTCGTCGACCTGCACAGGTCTGTCACGGGGCCGGAGCGGTGGACCAGGGAGCTCGACAGCTGTAGCCGACTGGGCTGGTCGACGGCTGGGCCTTCGACTAGGAGGAGCAGTTCGACGGGGAGGGTGACGGAGCAGTCCGTCGACCTGACATAAGAACGACAGTCGACGAGGGGAGCTCGGCGACAGCAGCCGGAAGTGCTGGTCGACGGAGGGGTCTGTCGACCAAGGAGTTGCTCGACGGGAGCTGTGGTCGACCAGAGGCACCTGGTGGTCGACCAGAGGCACTTGGTGGTCGACCAGAGCAGCTGGTGGTGTCCAGGTCGACCAGGTAACCTGCTCGGCGAGTTCTGCGGAGGCACGCGAACGTCGTCGAGGTCACATTGACAAAGGTGACTTCGCCGGAGTTGATGTGGCTCGTCAGGCGCAGTCAATAGTCGACGGATGCACAACGATGCAAGTCGGGCCAATCGTCTGTGAGCATGCCTACTGCTGTCTTCTGCGGGACAACGCTGGACAACCGCTTTGCTGCAGCGTTGGCACGCCGTCGACCTGCTGCGTTGGCAAGTCGCCATTCTGCAGTGCTGGCGCGGCTCCTCTACGCAACGCTGGCAGGCGGTCGACCAAGCGAGCTGCAGAGTTGCTTGGTGCCTGATGTAGTCATTTCTGTCATTGTCATTATCATCATTCTGTAATCTCAACTCTTGCCGATTTCTCCCGTGAATGCGCAAGCACTAAGGAACTAAGCAAAGCTACGATCACTCCTAGTAGTTCGTGCCAACCCCCCCCCCCCCCCCCCCCCCCCCCCCTTAGTCTACTTCACTACCTTGTAGAGTGGATCTCCGCAATCTGACCGCAAGTTGAACCACTTGATAATGAAATAATGCTTACATAAGCCAGTAAAGAACATTATTGGAATCACCTTATTGTTCAGCCAACTCAGCATCCTCGTCTCTAAATCTCTGCGCTATTGCGGAAAGAGTCTCCCTCACATGTGTCAAGTTGGCTTTCAAGGACGAATAACACGTTCCGTCTCCAAACGAGAGGTGGTAACGCACAGAGCAGGCATGCGCAAGATTATTGTAACAGGCGTTGTAACAGTTGCGCGGTCGAATCTCGTAGATGGAGGAGTTGGCGGGCATGAAGATGACATTGGCAAAGGCGGCCCCGTGCCCCGACACAAACAGGCGCGCCCGGCGGAAGAGAGCCCGCGCTGGCGAGGAAAAGAGAAAATGGGGCGCGCATTAGGAGAAGCATGAGATGTTGAGTGAAAACGGGGTGGGGAAGAGAAGGGGAAGAATGGGGCGCGGGGCAGCTCATTCAGGGGAGCATGGGGTGTTGAGTAAAAACGGGGACTTGTAAAGGTCGGGTGACACTTTCAAGATTATAGAGTAATGGCGGAAACGGCTTTGCAGTCATACACATGGGATGCACTATGGACATGCCCAGCACACCAAGTCGCCTTCCATGATGCGCAAGTCCCCTTGGAACACCGCAATGCACTCGCTCCAAAAGCTCTCAAAGCTCTCGTCCACTGCCTTCCTCAGGTCGTCCCATTCTTTAGAACTCTCAATAGTCATCACCTTCCATGATGCGCAGGCCCCCTTGGAATACCACGATCCGCTGTGTTCCATTGTAACAAGGTGACTTTGAGTCGCCTCAAAACCCACACGCCCACCACACCACATATCATCACCTTCCATGATGCGCAGGTCCCCTTGAAACACCACAATCCGTTTGCTCCCAAAGCTCTCAAAGCTCTCGTACACGGCGTCCCTCAGGTCATCCCAGTTCACCAACGCGCGCTTCGCCATCGGCCGCTTGCCCAGCACCACCACCCAGTTGGGCGGCAGTGCCGCCATGTCGTGGTCGGCGAGCGGCGGCACGGAGCGCAACGTCCAGTTGCGGTGGAAGAGCGGTAGCCCTCTGGGCGGCAGCAGGTGGTGACGGCGCAGATGCGTCCAAAGGGCCTTGTTGGGGCCGCCACACGTCTGCGCCATGGGCTGGCTGACGGGAAGGGGGTGAGGAGGGAGGAAGGGGGTAGAAGAGGGAGAAGTGTGGGAGAATGGGGGAGGACAGGTTGGATGGTTGAGATGGCGAGCAAGAAGGTTTTTGTTAGCCGGCACCTCCTGTCATGGCATCACCTGGTGCATGGCATCACCTGGTGCATGGCATCACCTGCTGTCATGGCATCACCTGGTACATGGCATCCCAACGTCACCTGGTACATGGCATCCCAACGTCACCTGGTACATGGCATCCCAACGTCACCTGGTACATGGCATCCCAACGTCACCTGGTACATGGCATCCCAACGTCACCTGGTACATGGCATCCCAACGTCACCTGGTACATGGCATCCCAACGTCACCTGGTACATGGCATCCCAACGTCACCTGGTACATGGCATCCCAACGTCACCTGGTACATGGTGTCGGCATGAATGATCTCCCACGAGCGCACTCGAATGGTCCACATGTTCTCTCGAGGCACGCCCACTATGGGCAGCCCGATTTGGTCGTACACCTCCCACTGGGACAAGGGGTTATGGGGGAAGGGAGAGAGGGCAGTGCAATGGGCATACAGCAGCGCCTATTTACAGCAACGCCTGTTTACAGCAGCGCCTGTTTACAGCAGCGCCTGTTTACAGCAGCGCCTGTTTACAGCAGCGCCTGTTTACAGCAGCGCCTGTTTACAGCAGCGCCTGTTTACAGCAGCGCCTGTTTACAGCAGCGCCTGTTTACAGCAGCGCCTGTTTACAGCAGCGCCTGTTTACAGCAGCGCCTGTTTACAGCAGCGCCTGTTTACAGCAGCGCCTGTTTACAGCAGCGCCTGTTTACAGCAGCGCCTGTTTACAGCAGCGCCTGTTTACAGCAGCGCCTGTTTACAGCAGCGCCTGTTTACAGCAGCGCCTGTTTACAGCTTAGTTGCAAAAGACGCGTCCTGCGTCTAGGACGCATGCGTCCAGACGCATGCGTCCAGACGCAGGACGCTGTCCCTGGACGCCTAGGACGCACCAAAAGACGCAAGCCCGGGCAGGGCAAAAAAAACTTTCGGGCAGGCAAAAAAACTTGGTACAGGGCATGGGCAGGGGGGGGGGGGGGGGGGGGGCACCTTCTAAATGGGCTTGGTGGTGGGCCACAAAGGTTGGGTTTTGTAGATGTGGAGTGGTGAAGAGGTTTGACATTTTCAATTTTGTTTGAGGGGGTTATGAAATGTTGGGGGGGTTGTTTTAGAATGTCGATTTGGCCTTAGGGGGTCGAAATTTCGCGATTTCGACAATCGCGTCGAAATCGCGAATGTAAATTTCGGAGTCGGGAATTTTTTTTTTCCGGGCAGCCCGGAAAAAATACCGCGTGCGTCCTGCGTCTGGACGTGCGTCCTGCGTCCTAGCGTCTAGACGCTGCGTCCAGACGCAGGACGCAGCGTCTGATCTGCGTCTTTTGCAACTAAGGTTTACAGCAGCGCCTGTTTACAGCAGCGCCTGTTTACAGCAGCGCCTGTTTACAGCAGCGCCTGTTTACAGCAGCGCCTGTTTACAGCAGCGCCTGTTTACAGCAGCGCCTGTTTACAGCAGCGCCTGTTTACAGCAGCGCCTGTTTACAGCAGCGCCTGTTTACAGCAGCGCCTGTTTACAGCAGCGCCTGTTTACAGCAGCGCCTGTTTACAGCAGCGCCTGTTTATAGCACCGCCTGTTTACAGCACTGTCTGTTTACAGCAGCGCCTGTTTACAGCAGCGCCTGTTTACAACACCGCCTGTTTACAGCAGCGCCTGTTTACAGCAGCGCCTGTTTACAGCAGCGCCTGTTTACAGCAGCGCCTGTTTACAGCAGCGCCTGTTTACAGCAGCGCCTGTTTACAGCAGCGCCTGTTTACAGCAGCGCCTGTTTACAGCAGCGCCTGTTTACAGCAGCGCCTGTTTACAGCAGCGCCTGTTTACAGCAGCGCCTGTTTACAGCAGCGCCTGTTTACAGCAGCGCCTGTTTACAGCAGCGCCTGTTTACAGCAGCGCCTGTTTACAGCAGCGCCTGTTTACAGCAGCGCCTGTTTACAGCAGCGCCTGTTTACAGCAGCGCCTGTTTACAGCAGCGCCTGTTTACAGCAGCGCCTGTTTACAGCAGCGCCTGTTTACAGCAGCGCCTGTTTACAGCAGCGCCTGTTTACAGCAGCGCCTGTTTACAGCAGCGCCTGTTTACAGCAGCGCCTGTTTACAGCAGCGCCTGTTTACAGCAGCGCCTGTTTACAGCAGCGCCTGTTTACAGCAGCGCCTGTTTACAGCAGCGCCTGTTTACAGCAGCGCCTGTTTACAGCAGCGCCTGTTTACAGCAGCGCCTGTTTACAGCAGCGCCTGTTTACAGCAGCGCCTGTTTACAGCAGCGCCTGTTTACAGCAGCGCCTGTTTACAGCAGCGCCTGTTTACAGCAGCGCCTGTTTACAGCAGCGCCTGTTTACAGCAGCGCCTGCTTACAACAGGGCCTGCTTACAGCAGCGCCTGTTTACAGCAGCGCCTGTTTACAGCAGCGCCTGTTTACAGCAGCGCCTGTTTACAGCAGCGCCTGTTTACAGCAGCGCCTGTTTACAGCAGCGCCTGTTTACAGCAGCGCCTGTTTACAGCAGCGCCTGTTTACAGCAGCGCCTGTTTACAGCAGCGCCTGTTTACAGCAGCGCCTGTTTACAGCAGCGCCTGTTTACAGCACCCCACTATGGGCAGCCCTGTCTGGTCGTACACCTCCCACTGGGAGGGAGGTTTGGGGGAAGGTGGGAGGAGGGGAGAGGGGAAGTGGAGGAGGGGAGGAGGATCGAGGCCAATCGATATATTGCAGCGTCAATTCACATCTATTCACGGCACACCCACTATGAGCAGCCCTATCTGGTCGTACACCTCCCACTGGGAGGAGGAGGAAAGGGGAGAGGAAGTGGAGAAGGGGAGGAGGATCAAGGCTATTTGGTAAATAACAGCATCTATTTACAGCACACCCACTATGAGCAGCCCTATCTTGTCATACACCTCCCACTGAAAGGGGTGCGGGGAGGGGACGGGGAGAGAAGAGTGAAGGCGGTGTATTGGGCATATAGCAGCATCTGATTATGGCACTCCCACTATGGCAGCCCTATCATGTTATACACCTCCCACTGGGGTGAGAGCGGGGAATGGAAGGAAGATTCAGGGAGGATGGACGTGGCCATGTGGTGGAAAGAGGCAGATAATTCGGCTTGTGGCACCCATCAAGGGTAGCTTCATCATTTTGTGCACCTTCTATCGGGAGGGGAAAAAGAGTGAGAACAGGGGCCTGGAGGAGAAGGGGAGGGGGGGAGAAGAGGTTAAGAGGATGAAAGCCACGTAGAGGGCAGAAGAGCAGTGGAGGAGGCGTTGTTTGAAAAGTGGGCGAGCTCAAAGGGTGTGCTTACCTGGTCGCCCTTGGCGGCAATGAGGATCTCAAGCAGAGCATCTAGGAGAGAGGAATGGAAGCCAGGAAAGGGTGTGAGTACCGGCACCACCTCCAGGTGCGCTCATAAGCGAGATACATTCTGCTGGTTGGGTGCCCAGATTGAGACGGAATGGGGAATGGTGGTAGAAAAATCCTTTCCCCGGAGTGGTAGTGCAGAATGGCAACAGGATGTATGTAAGCCTGTACAAACGAATACGAACATTTTTCCTGTATATTCTCCGAATACCGGGTGGTTTCTTATTTGGCCGAATACTGACCCAAAACCGAATACGACAATTCGAATACTTACCAAAAACTGAATACGAATACGATTCGAATACTGCCGAATCCGAATCGAATATGAATAAGTGTCGAGTAATAATATATTTTGTATAGCCAGTGTCGAACGGCTAATGCATGCTCGACACAGGGTGATACAATGCACTTTATAATATCAACATCATGACTCAATCCTGCACCATGACCTTTCCTAATCCCGCTCCAGCAACTATCTTGCTATGCTTTTGAGCGCGGTTCTCATGAGGCCTCTTGTAGACAGATTGCCAAAGATGATCGCCGCATGTGGGGAAGGAGGGGGAAGTGGGGGGAGGGTGTTAATGGTAGAATACCGAATAGTAACGAATACCCCGAACATCCGTTAGCCGAATATTCTACATCTACGAATACTCATGATGCGAATATTTTCGAATACACGGCCATTTCTTATTCTCTCGAATTCAGGTATTCGAACGAATATCGAATAATTCTCAAATACCGAATATTCTTGCACAGGCTTAGATGTATGCTAGCTGTAAGGTCTCTGATGTTGCGTCGTGGTGGCGCCAGGTTCCTAAGTCACGCTGTGGTGTTTTCCGCCATCACGCGTGTTGTGTGGACCGACGAGGCGGACGGGACCCAGGATGATGACATGATTTTCCTGGTAAAGGATTTACGACGAATGTAGAAATTGCAAAAAAATCATCCACAAGGAAAATTATGTCATCATCCTAGGTCCCGTCCGGCTCGTCGGTCCATACGACACATGTGATAGCGGAAAACACCATGACGACTTTGGAACTTGGTGCCACCGCGATGCATAACATCAGAGACCTTACAGTTGGAATAGATTCTGTTGTCATTCTGTACCACCACTTTGAGGAAAGGAATTTTCTAGCACCATTCTCCATTCCATCTCAATCTAGGCACCCAACCAGCATGATGAATCCCTTGTATCAGCGCGCCTGGAGGTGGTGCCGATACTGCTAGGAGAGAGAAATGGAAGCCAGGAAAAGGGTGTGAGAAATGGAAGCCAGGAAAAGGGTGCGAGAAATGGAAGCCAGGAAAAGGGTGCGAGAAATGGAAGCCAGGAAAAGGGTGCGAGAAATGGAAGCCAGGAAAAGGGTGCGAGAAATGGAAGCCAGGAAAAGGGTGCGAGAAATGGAAGCCAGGAAAAGGGTGCGAGAAATGGAAGCCAGGAAAAGGGTGCGAGAAATGGAAGCCAGGATAAGGGTGCGAGAAATGGAAGCCAGGAAAAGGGTGCGAGAAATGGAAGCCAGGAAAAGGGTGCGAGAAATGGAAGCCAAGAAAAGGGTCAGCATTCAAGGGCGTGCGTTATTACCTCATCGCACTTGGCAGCGATGGGCATGTCGGATAGAGAGGGCAGGAGGAGGCGGGCAGCGGTCTAGAGCAGTTGGACGGACAGAGGAGTCAGGAGAGAGAAGATGAAGAAGAAGGCAGTGAAAAGGGTACCTGGTCGCTCTTGGCAACAATGGGGATGTCTGGCGGCAGTGAGGGCAGGAGGCGACAGCGTAGGCAGCGCCGCAGAGGCACAGACAGAGCAGTGAGGACAGAGAAGAAGAAGAAGGTGGGGACAAGAGCGCGCCTTATTACCTGGTCGCCCTTGGCAGCGATGGGGGTGTCGGGCAGCAGCGAGGGCAGCAGGCGTGCAGCGGCGTAGAGCAGCGGCACGGCCTCGATGATGAAATGGTAGAAGTTGCCCGCCTGGCGGTAGTCCCAGTTGAACACCGATTTCAAATGGTACAACGTCATGTTGGGTGTGAGTGTCACCTGTGGGGAATGCAGTGAATGCAGAGATGCAGGGATGTAGCAATGTTGGAGGGAGATGAAGTGAATGCAGGTGGTTGTCCGCCTGGCGGCAGTCCCAGAGTTGAACAGCGAATGCAGGCGGTACAACGTCATGTTGGGGGTGAGCGTCGCCTGGGCGAGATGCAGTTAATTGATGGAAGTAGGGATGTTGGGAGATGCAGCACAAAGAGAGAACGGGAAGTTGCCTGCCCACCGAGAGATGCAGGGACGTAGGCACTTAGACACTTACGGCCGTACCTAGGGACTTAGGGACTTAAAGATGTAGCGACTCAGGGACGTAGTGACTTAAGGATGTAAGGACGTTGGGACTTTGCAACTTAGGGACATGGGGACTGTGGAATTAAGGACCTAAAAAGGAGGAGTGGAAAAAGGGAGGGAAAGGATGAAAATTGCAAGAGGACTGAAAAAGAGCGGTGGGCAAGCACCTTGAGGAAGCGCTTGCAGCCGTTGCGGTTGAAGCGATGCGTTAAGTTGAACACGTATCCCCCGAACGCCGAGTACACATCGCTCATCTTGAACACCTGCATGCATGCATGCCCGTGGCATCGCTCGCTCAAAGAGTAGCTGTCGTGTAGTTTATGCTTCAGCAAAAAACACAACAGCGGTTTTTGAGTCAACTAAAGAACCCCCGGAAGCCAAATACACATCGCTTATCTTGAACACACCTGCATGGCGGTGGCGTCGCGCGCGTTCACATCCACGCGGTGCGAGCACTGCTTATCGATATAATACCACGGCCGCCGCAACTTCCCCACATCCTCCACGGGCTGCAGGCGCGGGCAGTTGAGCGGGTCCGCAGGGAAGAGACGGCGGGGTCAGTAGCGGACAGGTAGGGTCAGTAGCGGACAGGTGGGCTGCGAATGCCTGACTTCCATCAATTCGTGTTGCTCTAGGACAACGAGACCAGCCCCATGGATTAGGTGAGTGGAAGAAAGAAGCCTGGGTGAATGCGAGCTGGAACGGTTCTTAGAGAGCCAGTTGGAAACAAGAGCTGTCAGTGGCAGACAGGTGGGCTGTGGAGGCCTTACTTTCAATCCAAAAAACTTCCTTACTTGCAGGCGCGGGCAGTTGAGCGGGTCCGCGGGGAAGAGAGGGCGCGGGTCGGTGAGGTGGTCGTTCCAGCAGGCTTGTATGTGCGGGAATGATGGCCCGCAGTGCCCGAATTTGGGGCAGGGCGGGCCGCGGCACCGCAGGCGCGCGCCGAGGTGGGGCTGCAGCTCGTAGTAGTCGAGCATTATGGAGGGGAGTGCTGCCGTGTGGAGGGTGCGGTTGAATGGTGCTGCTGCTGCTCTCAGTAGGTCCCGCCGCTCCATGTGGCTGGGGGTGGAGGGGAGGGTGGGGAGGGCCAGGCGGGGAGGAGAGCGGAGGCCAGGACAGGGCAGGGGAGGGCAGGGGAGGGCAGGGGAGCGCAGGGGAGGGCAGGGGAGGGCAGGGGAGGGCAGGGGAGCGCAGGGGAGGGCAGGGGAGGGCAGGGGAGCGCAGGGGAGGGCAGGGGAGGGCAGGGGAGTGCAGGGGAGGGCAGGTGAGGGCAGGGGAGTGCAGGGGAGGGCAGGGGAGTGCAGGGGAGGGCAGGGGAGTGCAGGGGAGTGCAGGGGAGGGCAGGGGAGGGCAGGGGAGTGCAGGGGAGGGCAGGGGAGGGCAGGGGAGGGCAGGGGAGTGCAGGGGAGGGCAGGGGAGGGCAAGGGAGGGCAGGGGAGGGCAGGGGAGGGCAGGGGAGTGCAGGGGAGGGCAGGGGAGAGCAGGGGAGTGCAGGGGAGGGCAGGGGAGGGCAGGGGAGGGCAGGGGAGTGCAGGGGAGGGCAGGGAAGAAGAGGGCAGCGCAGAGTAGGGAAGGGGAGCGCAGGGAAAGGGAGGGAAGGGGGGGTCAGGGGAGGAAAGGGGAGGGCGGAGGAGAGGGAAGGAGAGGACAAGGGAGAGGGAAGGGGAAGGCAGGGGACGGAAGGGGAAGGCAGGGGACGGAAGGGGAGGGCAGGGGACGGAAGGGGAGGGCAGGGTACGGAAGGGGAGGGCAGGGGACGGAAGGGGAGGGCAGGGGACGGAAGGGGAGGGCAGGGGACGGAAGGGGAAGGCAGGGGACGGAAGGGGAGGGCAGGACAGACGAGAAAAGGAAAAACGGGAAGGGGATAAGCCTGGTTCTGCTTCCTCTCCCATACCCACAGTGCAGGCCGGCTAAGTTGGAATATACGTTAAGGGGCTTTAGCGTTCAGCGTTTGAACGCTAGCGTGTACACGCAATACGCGAAACGCTAGCGGAAACGCTATACGCAACCCAATTTTTTTTTGGGGCAGCCCGCCGACCCAAAATTTTTCAAACACACCAAAAGATGCGGAATGGCACGGCGAGTAATTCTGCGACGTCAGATTGCACGGCCGAGGTCTAGGGTTGCGGGAAATTGGATTCATGTCCTGGTGTCGCGATTTCACTTTCACATGTTGCATGTTCACACATTGATGGTCACGTACATCGAGTCGCGTGAGCACGTCTGAACATTTCTATCCCAACACGTTACCGCATTCAAACCCACAACATTCATTCAGTCCAACCATTCCGACTCAATCTCCCGCCACTCGTCATGCTATTTATCAACTCGTCAAAACGTCCATCTCATTCAGTAATCCTCTCCCGCTACCAACAACTAGCCTCATTGCGATGGCATCCAGCAGTCCGCCTCTCACGCCGCCTTCCGATCAGTCAGTGGAGAGTTCTATCGCTCGTCCAGAAGGGACCAGGGAGTACCTTCCTGATGTAGTCCACGACGTCTTCAAGCACTTCAGTATCATCAAGCGCGAAGAGGGCAAGGCACAGCAGTACGAGTGCAAGTACTGCTTCAAGGTATTTTCAGGTGCCGCCATCCGATGCGCTCAGCACCTTAGCTCATGGAAGAAGATGAAGCGCCGCGAGGTGGCGCTTTGCGCGAAGGCACCTGCTGATGTTCGCCTCGAGATCCGCAAGAAGTACGAGGCGCAGGCTGATGCGAAGGAAGAGAAACAGAGAGCTGTGTTGGCTGCTTTAGCGTCGGTCAAAGCCGGTGGCAAACGGGCCCGCATGACCGACTACCTCGAGGGCGACGCTGCTGCGGCAAAACGTGAAGCACATGAAGGTCTTGCGCTCATGATTGCCGCATGTCGCCTCCCGGAAAACCTCGTTGAACATCCGCTCTTCGTCAACTCTATGCACCTGGTCGCCCGCGCCGGGAAGGGCTACGTTCCGCCACGTCGCAAGTACATCGGAGGTGCCGGACTGCTCGCTTGCCGCAAGGGTATTGACGGAGGCTTGATGGGGATCAAGGCTAGCTGGAAGAAGACGGGTGTTACCATCGCGTCCGACATGATGACGGACAAGTGTGGCAGGCCGCAGGCGAATGTCCTCCTCGTCAACGACGCGGGTGCCGTCCTGAAGGAGTGTGTGGACTGCAACATGGAGAAGAAGACAGGGGGGTACATCGCGGGGATTCTGAAACCCGTCGTGGAGGAAGTCGGCCCCGAGAACGTCGTCGCGTTTTGTATGGATGGGGGTTCCAACTACGCGTCGGCGTGCAAGAAGCTGATTGAGATATGGCCCCACATTCAACAGGTTCCATGTGCCACCCACGTCATGGACCTGATGATGGAGGACGTGGGGAAAATGGGGTGGGCAAAAAAGGTGGTTGACCGTGGCACGGAGATAAGCTCCTTCACCCGCAACCACCATTGGACACGCGGTTACTTGCGGAACCGTAAGTTGGTGGAGGGGAAGGTGTTGCAGCCGTTGAAACCCGCGGGGACCCGCTTTGGGACCCAATACATCGCTATCTCCCGTCTCTGTCAGCTCCGCCCCACCCTTACGCAGATGGTCGTCAGCGACGAGTGGAAGGTGTGGGCTGCTGGATCGCGTAAGGAGGTTGCAGACAACTTCGCCGCGCAGGTACTTGACACGGCGTGGTGGAAAACTGCCGAGTTTTTCACCAAGCTGATGCAGCTCCCTTTCAAGGCGATGCGCATGACTGACGGGGAGGCAAAAGGGATGATGGGCAGGATCTATGACGTGATGCTTCAACTCACAGAGGACGTTGAGGCTCTCGTGGACGCGGATGAGGAGCAGTTGTGCTACAGCGAGAAGAAGAAGATCCGCCGCAACCTCAAAGACCGGTGGGACGAGAGCCTCGCGTGCGCCATGCACGTGGCAGGCCGCATCCTCAACCCCGCGAACCAGCAAGAGGACATTTTCGGCGGCGACGCTGAATGTACGCGTGTCTTCAAAGCGTTCCTTCACCAGCATGCGGAGTTCCTCGTCGGCCACGATGGGAAGGGGAGGGACGCTGCATGCGATTACTTGGTTGAGTTGGGGGACGGGCTGAGGGATTTCCTGGACATGAAGGGTAGTTTCGGGATGGCGGAGGCGGTGGCACAAAGGGAGATGGTGAAGGCGGGAAAATACAGCATGGTGAAGTGGTGGCAGTGGAACGGAACAGATGCCCCTCGCCTTGCGTCCCTCGCCATCCGGGTTCTCTCGCAGCCCGTCTCGGCTTCACCCTGTGAGCGTGGCTGGTCAGGGTGGGAGTCCGTCCACACTTCCCGCAGGAATCGCTTAGGATCCGCCAAGTGTGCGGATTTGGTGTTTGTTGCGCACAACTGGAACGTTGTGCGCAACTGGCACACGCGCAAGGATGTGATGCCGAATGTTGTGTGTGGGAATGAGCCGGAGCCCCCCATCCCCGAAGGTTACAATGTGCTGGATGAGGGGGAGGAGGAGGAGGAGGAGGAGGAGGAGGAGGATGACGACGCCATCTTGGAGGACGAGTATGAGTAGCGGGTAACAATGTGGGGGGGGAGGAGGGTGGGTACGAGTAGGGAGAGACTAGTATGACTCGTAACTGGATTTGTATGGCATGGCTAATTTTATTATGGGGAAAAAAAAAAAAAAACAGAAACACATCCCGCACGAAACCCCTCTGGACCCAACCCCAGGAGGGTTTTGTTACCCTGCCCGGGAAACTTTTTTTCCTGCCCGGAAATGCGTATCCTGGATCTGACCACTCTAGCGTTCAGCGTTCAAACGCAAGCGTATATACGAAACGCGTATATACGCCAAACGCGTTTATTCCAACTTAGCAGGCCGGTCGGACAGAGGAGGGGACACACACACAGGGGAACGGGAACAGAACAATTACAGACGAGCGCAAAGAAAAAGGTGGGGGGAGTGGGGTTAGTGTTGAGGAAGGACGAAGCGGCGCGCAGCAGAGAACACAAGGGGAAGAGGAGGGTACGAGAGCGAGAAGACAGAAGCGAGAGAGGCTCTTTGCGAGAGATGCGTGGCGAGAGATGCGTGGCGAGAGATGCGTGGCGAGAGATGCGTGGCGAGAGATGCGTGGCGAGAGATGCGTGGCGAGAGAGAGCTCACAGCTGATCGGCGAGCGATCTCTCGAACTGCTGCACGCGACCCAACAGGGCCTCCTGCCGCTCCTTACCCTCCTTGCCCTCCTGAGCCTCCTCGGCCTCTGCCACAGGCAGACGGCAGGCACGAGACGGAGCAGGGATGGGACACGCTGAGTTGAGGTGCCGTGATAAGAAAGGCGCGGTGATGGCTGGCAGAGTGATGGGCGGCAAAGTGATTTGCACACCAAGATGCACATTGCGCTACAGTCACACACCTCGAGCCACGGCATGCCGCAAGGAGAGGAACGCGAGGAGGAGCAATCCGAGCAGCAGACGTCGGTCATAGTGACGGTGATTGTGCTGGTGATTGTAACCAGAGAGACTGTAGCCTCTGTGGCTGTGGCTGCGATCGCGGCAGGGGCGGCTGGAGCGCGGGCGCTCGTGACTGTCTGGAGGGCAACGGGGATAATGGAGAGGAGAGCAATTAGAGTGCGGAGTGGAAGCATGGTGGAGCACGGAGCGAGGGAGGGGGAGAATGCACTGGGTAGGACGGCTTGAGATTTCGGTGACTCCCGTCATCGCAGTCCACGTGCCGCTACCGTCGCACCGTCGTCGCACTATCGTCCCACCGTCGTCGCGACGCCGTCGCACCGTCGTCGCACTATCGTCCCACCGTCGTTGCGACCCCGTCGCACCGTCGTCGCACTATTGTCCCACCGTCGTCGCGATGCCGTCGCACCGTCGTCGCACCGTCCCACCGTCGTCGCGATGCCGTCGGCGCGCATCAGAGGTAGGGATCTCGTAGCGTCGGCCCTGCGCCGCGCAGACGAGGCGGATCCAGGCTGTGACGCTATATACGAGTCCTCATTGGCCATCCCGCCTCCTTCTACAATCTAGACCGTCGGATCGCCTCACAGTACTTACCCCATCGCCACGGGACTCCTTGATCCGGGCGCTTGCAACACGTCAGTATGTTACCACGTTGTAACATGCCACCATCTCGCTACGGCTTCGTGAATGACGTGCGAACAGGTGGAAGGCAAGGGGAGAGAGAGTGGACGGACACGGGAAGGACGATGCGCGACGCGAGTGAGGTGAGCTAGCCACTGATCGAGGAAGGAATGGCGTATGCAATGCGGCACAAGCAGGCTTGTAATGTATGAAGAAAAACCTTTCTAGAAATGATCGCCAACCACATGCCAAGGCAACGTCTGATTCGCGAGTGTGTCGGTGACTTCGTCACCAGGCGTTCCCTCCTCCCGAACCCGTGACGTCAAATTAGGGTAACCCTGAGCCTGCCTGCTTCCTGATTGGAAGACCTGCAAGCAATTTGTCAGATGTGCTCGAATTGTTGCGCGACATTCCGGACTCCGTCGCGAACAGATTCTTCCAGGTTTTCGCTAGGGTACTCTCTCCGAGTGAAAATGTTGGGATGAGTCGAGCTTCGTGCGGTAGCTAAAAGTCATGGCGGGGTCGGCGCAGCGCCATCGCCTCGCCGTGCTCCTCGCCGGGCTCGCACTCGGCGTGTTCTCTCCGACGGCCGCGGCTGCTGCGAATCTCCACCCCACGCAAGGTCCGTCGCGCTGAACGACCTCGCAGCTGTGCATCCACTTGAAAGGGCCGCGGCCATGCTGACCTTTCCGTTACACTCCCGAGCATCTGGCTCGGAGCGTCCACGGGCCCGGCGCTATAATCCTGCGCGTGGTGCCACTGTCCAGCTCGCCACTGCTTCTTAGAGCTGGCAGAGTCATTTCGACTGGCGTGCGTCATCTTTCTCGCTTTTTTAGCATCAACTCGTTGTTCATGCTCGGGACGGAGAGCAACCGGCCGTGCCCTAATTGAACGTTCAGCTCCATCGTCCTCCTGTCGCTCGCCAATCTTTCCCACGCGCGCTTCTTTGCCTTACTACAAGTCCTCCTGCCAGCCGCAATGCCTGGCATGTTTCGCGGCGCATTGCCCCCCTTCCCTCTCCTCGCCTGCTGCATCGTTCGTCAAAGCGTACCCTTTGCCCGCCCAGACAGTGCGCTCCTCCCATCCAAGCCTCTCCCCATCCCCCCACCCTCCTCCAACGAAGTCGGTGTTCCCTTTCCGTAGTCTCCCCAGTCCACACACGCACCTGCCCCACGGCGCCTGCCCCTCGGCGCCTGCCCCGCGGCGCCTGCCCCGCATTTGCATTTTGCTCCGCCCCTCCTCGTGCGCTAATCCCCCCTCTCACGCCATGTTTCCCCAGTCCCCATCCGCATGCCCTTCCCCCCTCCGCATGCTTCCCCATTCCCCATCCGTATCCTCCCCCTCCCCACGCACATACCCCCTCTCCCTTTCCGCGGCTGTGCCCCGCAGCGGCGGTGCTGGCGGAGTGTCAGGGGCAGTGGCAGGCGCAGCTGCGCGGATGGAGCAAGGGGGGGGACTGCTCCCAGGTGGAGGGCGTGCGCTGCAATGCCGCTGGCTTCATCGTCTCCATGTGAGTGGGGAGTAGCTTAGGGGGAAGAGGGGTGGGACGGGACTGCACACAGGTGGAGGGCGTTTGCTGCAATGCAGCTGGCTTCGTGTGTGTGTGTGTGTGTGTGTGTAGTGTGTGTGTGTGTGTGTGTGTGTGTGTGTGCGCGCGTGCGTGCGTGCGTGCGTGCGTGTGTGTGTGTGTGTGTGTGTGTGCGCGCGCGCGTGCGTGCGTGCGTGCGTGCGTGTGTGCGTCGAGTGATTCGAAATGCCTCCAATCAGTACGTCCCCCACTTCGCCCTTCCCTCGCCCCATCCCATCCCTGCCCACCCTCCTACCACTTTCCCCAGCCCGTCGCCCTCCCCTTTCCCCTTGTGCGGCTTGGGAGGTGTTCATATCTTTGGAGTGGGTTGGCCCTGGAATGAGCGTCTTGGGGAATGGCTGCATGGCTCCACCCGTGCTTGCTGCCCCCATGCGTGCTTGCTGCCCCCATGCGTGCTTGCTGCCCCCATGCGTGCTTGCTGCCCCCATGCGTGCTTGCTGCCCCCATGCGTGCTTGCTGCCCCCATGGCATACACCCACGCAATGCCCCTCGCTGCACGTGCCGTACCATGGGTTGAGTCGCTGTTCGTCCATCCATGCCACGTGCCCTTTCTCCCATCGCATCGCACCATGCCCCTTCCTTCCCTCCCTCCCTCCCTCCCTTCCATGCCGTGCCCTGATTCCCTCACGCCATGCCATGCACCAGGAATGTGACGGAGCGGAACTTAATCGGCCCCATTCCCGATTCCCTGAGCAACCTCACAGCCCTTACACAACTGTATGCTGGGAATACCATGCCATGTAGTGCCATATAATGCCATGCAGTGCCTTATGATGCCATGTATGTAGTGCCATATGATGCCATGTAGTGCCATATAGTGCCATGTAGTGCCATATAATGCCATGTAGTGCCATATAATGCCATGTAGTGCCATAAAATGCCATGCAGCGCCATCATCCCATTGCTCTTCTCATTGCTTGCCGTTGCCATTGCCATCGCCTTGGTCCATGGCCGTTGTTGCTGACGCCATTCCAGTGGCCCTGCAATTGCTGCTGCATGGTCAAGCTGCTAGGAGCTCACTGCAGCTTTTTTCACTTCACTGCACTTCACTGCACCTCACTGCACCTCACTGCAGCTCACTGCACCTCACTGCAGCTCACCACAGCTCGCACTGCAGTGCAGGCGAGCGATTGTGCCCCTTTTCAACTGCTAGCTATGATGTTTCCCCCTCTTGCCCTCCCTCCCTCCCTCCCTCCCCCCCTCCTCATGCATATGTATGATGTGCATATCAGTGATCTGAGTGGCAATTCGTTGTCAGGCTCCATTCTAGCCGCCATTGCTGACATTGCTGCCCTCAGGATCTTGTCAGCAGCCCTTATCCCCCCCATCCCTATATTATGTCAGTTGTTGGTTTTTACTCTGCATCTGCTGTGCCACTGTGGAATGACATGCTTTGTCATGTCATGAGTGTCTTATTCTTCTCTACATGTTCATTAGCTTAGCACCTAACTTTCGTAGCCGTTACACAATGCGATTCTGGAACAAGACGTGCTTAAGGCAAGCCTGGGGCGTAATTTAAACATATAACGTATTTCATGTTTGCAGGAACCACATCTTACTGCCTGGCAAGGCCATATCACGTATGCATGCCACTGCTGAACCATTGCAGGCGCTTATATTCCAACGGTTTGGAGGGGGAAATTCCAAAAGCAATTGCGCGGCTCACTGGCTTGGAAGAATTGTACAAAGCAGTGCTCTCTGTTTGCTGTTCCTTACCCTTCGGTTTCCATTATTGCCTCATGACTTGCTTGCCTGTGCTCCATTCTGAATCCTCCTCTACCAATCGCCGTGCCTCGTTTTCCATTTTCTAGAAGCTCTCTTGTGCTGTACCACGGTGTCACTTAATCCTTCAGAAACATATTGCTGTTGCAATTTTATTCCACTTGCACACCATGCCATGGCGTCGTCACATGCCATGGCGTCGTGTCGTCACATGCCATGGCATCGTGTCGTCACATGCATGCCAGGAGCCTGGGCCTCAACTCGGGCATCACAGGGTCCATTCCCCAGGAGATGGAGCGCCTCGTCAACCTCAGATACATGTGGGCAATGCTGTCTGGCACACCCTCTTCACTGTACCACTGTTTTGTTTCAACACTTACGGATACCATGCCTCCACCTTAATTCGTTTGTCTTTAATATGTTTTTTTATGTGTGCGTGCATTCTGTTTGTGTGTTTTTACGTGCATGATTGTGTGTGCACACATTTTTGTACATGTATGTATGTATGAGTGTATGTGTGTGTGGGCGCGCGTGCGCTTGCGCTCGCGCGCGTATGCGTTGAGCATGTGTGCGTGTGTGTGCACGCGCTCGCGTGTGATGGTGTGTGCAGAAATTTCTTCATGATGGATTTAGTGGGTCCATTTCCGTCCTGGATATCTGGTCGCACCAAGCTCACCCACCTGTCCGTCCTCTCTGCTTCTGTGGGCCGAGGGATGGAGCATGTCCTGCTGAACGAGGTCGCGCTCATGAGTGTAGCTCTTGGATGCACATGCATATGCACTCACACGTCACATGCTCACACGTCACAAGCTCACACACACATCACACACTCACCACATCATACGCACACACACACACATCACACACTCACCACATCATACGCACACACACACATCACACACTCACCACATCATACACACACACACACACATCACACTCACCACATCATACGCACACACACACATCACACACTCACCACATCATACGCACACACACACATCACACACTCACCACATCACACGCTCACAAATCACGCACACACATACAGGGGGTGCCTATACGCGTTTTTCTCTGTCTGTAAGCTGTCTGTACCCTTGTGAAGTCATTGCATGCCAATGTGTCCATGTGCTGTGTTATGCTGCAGAAACATTGCTCACAACAGCATCATTGGCAGCATACCAGAGTCCATTGGCAGCACCATCAACCTCAAAATCTTGTAACCCTCAAATTCTTGTAAAGCTTCTATTGACACTGACCCTGCTGCGCCATGCACATCACATGTAAACACGACCATTGGACCGAACTTTCGTTCGACCAAACTTTGTTTTGGGGAAAAATGTTCGGCCGATCCGAGTTTAGGTTCGGTCAAAGTGTTCGCCTGAGCCTCTGTGGTTGTAGCAGTTCTACACTGTCAAACAGTTCGATGCAACAAAACAGTTCGTGACGAACATCGTGGGGTTCGGGCGCACTAGGCAGGACGCCTGCTCGAAAAGATGAGATTAGGGTTAGAAATTTTCTATTTCTTAGTCTACATCTAGCATTGCATCCTGTCCAATAGGGTTGAGCAAGAGGCGCACGAACGTGTTCGCGTTCGCCCCTGCACGAACACCGCCGTTCGGCGAACCGAACACTGTTCGGTTCGCCGAATACCTTTAGCAAAGAATGGTGTTCGCCGTTCGCCTGTAAAGGCGAACTCCTTGGTTTCAGAGGCGAACAGGAACGTGTTCGTGGCAAACACGTTCGTGTTCGCCCCAGGACTACATTCACTGTAGTCACACATGGCAGACATTGAATTTGCCCCCCCCCCCCCCCCCTCCTGCCATCTGATCTCACGGCGAAATGTCAGACCACGAAGTGTTTGAGCTAAAAAACTGAGCTCAAACACAAAGTCTCGCGACCTAAAAATTGGTCGCGGGACAATTCGTCGACGGACACATTAGTGTTCAACGCGGCTCGGCAGCAGTAGCGAGGCAAACACCGAACGCGTTTGGGCGAACACCGAACACGTTCCCCACGAACAATTTTAGCCAAAAAGAAATCCTGTTCGTTTCGGGTCAAATACGTTCGAGGCGAACCGAACAGGTGTTCGTTTGTTTTCTTGCTCAAGCCTACTGTCCAACACCTGTTTCAACCATGATAATGCCAGATCTGGTGGCGAAATGCCAGATATGGCCACGAAATGCCAGGTCTGGCCGCGAAATGCCAGATCTAATAGCTCTGGTGAAAAAAGAGGGGAAAAGTCTGATGTCAATTTGCCTGGCCAATCAAACTAAATACAAGTTCGACCGAACCTAGTTACGTTCGGCCGAACTGAAAAGGTTCAAATGTGTACAGGCAAACTCGATTATTAACCAGGCAAAAGAAAGTTTGGGAACTGAAACCTGGTTGGGGTTCGGTTCGTGCTCATGTCTAAACACATGGCCGCATCTATGTTGCACCTGACGCCCCTAGCGTATGGACGCTAGACGCTTGGGTGCGTCTTTGGTGGACGCTCACTTGACGCTTATCCGGGCAGGGCAATTTTTTTCCCTGGGCAGGGGCAACAAAATCTTGGGTCTAGTAGTCGACATTCTAACCTAATTGCTTAAACTTGTACTAAACTAGGATGACTTTCAAGCGGCTGGCGAATTCTAGTGTTTAGAAGGCTAGGGGATGACGAGAGAGTGGGAAGTGGGTAATGTCGACCCCAATCTGCCTTTCTAATTGAGATTGGGGGTCGTCCAGGTTGGGATTCCTAGTTGTAGAGGGGTGAAAATGTGTTTGTGGGTTGTTTTTGTAACCCGAAAATGCAACCCACATCTGGTGATTTCATTGATTCTGGTCGCGATGAGATCGCGCATCAATTTTGCGAAGGTTTTTTTTTTCTTTTTTTTAAATATATTTTTACGATTGGACGCGGCGTCGAGAAGCTGGAGCCCCGTAGGCGCATCATATAGGTGCACATGCTCATCATCCCATATGCTCTCATTGCACCCTGTTCCATTTGCAACCAGCTCTGTGTGGTTCAACATCATCACAGGCACCATTTCCGAGTCCATTGGCAGCCTCACCAAGCTCAGCGAGCTGTGAGAATCAAACTGTGCTTATGCTTTTCAAGAAATATTATGTTGTGAATTTGTCTCTTTTCCCCTACTCTTGTGCAAGGACCCATACTGTGGTGGTGGATTGGATTTGGTGACGAAATTGCAGGGCTTTGCCAGATAACCAGCTAAAGGGAAGCATCCCTGAGGGCATTGGTAACATGAAGTACATCACCTCTTTGTGAGATCACTCAACCCACTGCTTGCTTTGTCTGTGCAAACAAGTAAGCCTAAAGTATGCAAGAGGAAATCAGCAAAACCCAAAGCCCAAGACCTCAAAACCCAAAGCTAATGGAGGCAAGAAGCAAATGGAGGTGCGGCTAGGTTCTTAGTGATATGAATCGTGCTAGCACTGCCAGGTTGAAGGAAGAGGCGAACACGAACGTGTTCGTGTTCGCCCCTGCAGGAGCACAGCCGTTCGGTCGCCGAACACCTTTTAGTGTTCGTCGTTCGCCTGTGAAGGCGAACACCTTGCTGAGACAGGCGAACACGAACGTGTTCGAGGCAAACACGTTCGTGTTCACCCTTTGACAACTTTCACTATAGTCACACATGGCAAGCATGGAATGTGACCCTCCCAGATAATTGGTAGGGAGGTTTAGGGTGTTCTGGTGTATTTGCAATGTACCAACAGTAACTACGTCATGTTTTAAGATGGAGTATTGAGGATCCTATTACTCCTAGGTAGGGTTGAGCACGGGCCGGGCCGGGCTGGGCCCGGGTCGGGCCAGGCCGGGCCAGGCAAAAATCCGGGCCGGGCCAGGCCCGGCCCGATCCGGGCCGAATGACCAAGACCCTGGCCCGAGCCCGCCCATTTAGTACTCGGGCCAAGGTGGCCCGACCCGGGCCAAGCAAGGCCCGACCCGGGTGCACTTTCGATAGCGTCACACATGATTTTCGAAAACGGAATGCCTTCAATCTTAACCTAATCTAAGCTAAAACGCACTATCTCGTCACCCTTTCTTATAACCGTTACTTTAAAACAGTTAACTAACACTAACTACTGAGAGATAGAGTATAAGTTAGGAAAACGGGCTAGGTGAGATCTAGAGCTTGCGCAAACTGTCGCGCAGCTCAAATTTGACCCCCGCGACATTTGCTGGGGGGTTCAAATCCCCGCATGATTGAGATTTGACGAAGTTGACTCAAATCTCAAATCATGCCAACAAAACACAACAGAAACCGGATTTCACCGCACTGAATCTAGAATTTCCAACCAAACCATCAATTTCCAACCCAGGTCAACTGGATCTGGCCGCATTTGTTGGCCTGAGATCTAGTCGACAGCATATCAACTCATAGGGTTTACTCGACCAGCACGTTATTAGCTTATAAGTAGAGTTCACTAAGCGCAGGGGAAATAGGCGGGCCAGAACAGCCCGACCCGGGCCGCGCTTCGACCCGGGCTGGCCCGGCCCGGCCCGAAAATGTCGGGCCAATGTCGGGCTACTTACGGCCCGGCGGGCCGGGCCGGCCCGGCCCGCCACGGGCCGAAACCCAAAATCTGAGGCCCGGCCCGTGGCAATTCCGGGCTGGCCCGACGCGGGCCGGGCCCAGCCCGGATTTATGCTCATCCCTACTCCTAGGTAAGGGCGGTAGTGGGCGTTATGGGGCTGGCGCTAAGGTCGCGAACAGTTTGAGCTCAAAAAATGATGTCAAACTCAAAGGCCCACGACCTAATAATTGGTCGCGGGTCAATTCGTTGACGAACACTAATGTGTTCGTCGAAGCCCCGTGTTTAACACGGACGCGTTCATGTTCGACGCGGCTCGGCCAGCAGTAGGAGGCGAACACCGAACGTGTTCGTGCGAACACCGAACACGTTCGCCACTAACATTTTTAGGCAAAATTACGTCTTGTTCGGTTCACCTTGAACGTGTTCGAGGAGAACCGAACAGGTGTTTGTTTCATTGCTCAAGCCTAACTGCCACAGGCAATCGAGACAAATGACTGTGGAACGCCAACCTTGTTACAAAGAAAGGAATTGTATTGAGCGATGAGCCAAGAGGTTCTATATTACAGACAACGAGCAAGAGAGGAGTGCAAAATGAGCTAACTCTATTGGCCGCTAAGTTGACCAATGAGTGAGTTAGTTTGTAGAACAAGCAACCACAATTGTGAGTCTGTTGGGATTGGTGGAGCTAAAGACTCAAGGTTGGCAAGTGTTGACCAAATGTCAATGAGATGGGGATTTTAATGGTGCATCATCAGATATATCAAAACGCTGCAAGATGGGGATTTTAATGTAGAAGGATGGAAATGGACGAATGATGTGTGCCACACGCACGCACGGTCATGGCAAATCTCCGGGCCAAGGTGTTAAGGCGAGTGTTGGGTGAGAGAGTAAAGCGGGCCAATTGGCGAGTGCATCGATGAAGGTAATCATGCTTGAACGGAAGCACTGCTTTGATCATGCTTGAACGGAAGCACTGCATTAGTCATGCCTGAGCGGAAGCATTGCATTGGTGTAGAGGTGTTGAAGAGCGGAAAGAGCAATAAGGTTATGAGACAAGAGAGGACATGAAGACAAGTAGCGGCACCGGTGGGAAGGACAGGGCAACAAAGGGAAGAGGCACCAAAGCAGGTAGAAGATGCAACCTTTAAGTCACAGCAATAGTTCATGAGGGGGGGGGGGGGGGGGGGGGAGGGGGGGAGGAGGTAGCAAGATGTTCCCCAAAGTAGCGGGAATTGCCACGCAACTATGAAAGGGAGAAGACAAGTGTTTAGCAGATGGAGGGAGAATGACGAGGAGGGAATAACGTCGAGGGAAGGAGTGCTCAGCGAGCAACCGAGGGGTGGAACTAACACAACTCAAGTTTACGGTCGATTAACAAGTCGAGCTCGAGTAAAAAAAGACTCGGGTCAAGTTTAACTCGGCGCAATTCCGGACTCGAGCCTCGCAAAATATATATGTACATATATAAACGATTAAAACTTGACTCCTATTTTGGTCATGCCTAGCCCGCGTCATTCCTAAAGCAAGGCTATGTTTGATCCTTTTGCGAGCTAGACCTGCTTGGCTTCTCCCATTGCGCTCACTTCCATGTGGCTCCATGACACTAGTGCATGCGTGCCCACGATGAACTCGCAGGGACCTTGCGCGCAACTGGTTGAACGGCACAATTCCCAACAGCTTGTCTCGTCTGACTAACCTCATATTCTTGTGAGCTTGTCTCGTCTGACTTACCTCATATTCTTGTGAGCTTGTCTCGTCTGACTTACCTCATATTCTTGTGAGCTTGTCTCGTCTGACTAACCTCATATTCTTGTGAGCTTGTTTCGTCTGACTAACCTCATATTCTTGTGAGCTGCAAGGCACCAGCCGCATTAGGAGCATGGTGATGTGGGGGACATATATGGCATTGTGACGGAGGGATACCAAATGGAGAACGAGAGAAATAGGAGGCGTCAACAAGGCTCAGATTAGAAATGGAGAGGTAGGTGAAGAGAAGGAATGGCAAGGCATCATTGGTGGCTCTTTGTTGTGTTCGTTATTGCTCTCAAATAAGGCAATGGCCTATTGATTGTTCAATCTGGCGCCTCTATTTACACCTCAGGCGTCTTAACAACAACATGCTGAAGGGGTCATTTCCGGCTTGGATCTTAGGGATGTCCAACATTAGGGAGCTGTGAGTGAACATTTATTGCTTGTGTGTTGAATACACTTGTGCCCTTTGTGTTAGGTTTACAATTGTTTCCCCATTACAAGATATGTTGCCAATTGTGTTAGCTGCCAACACATATATGTCCTCTATCCTGACGATGACAGTAGGCTGCAGTATTTCCCCCACAGCAGCAGAATAGATCCAGGTGGTAGCGGAGCTGTAAAGGTCTGGGACAGGGTCGAGATAATGAGCTCCTAGGCTTGAACAGATGTGTGGAATCTGTTAAGAGCCTAGGAGCCACAGGTGAAAATGTTGCACTGGAAAAGTATTGAGATACATTTGAGCAAGCGAGTTGGGAAAGCTTAACCCAACTTTGGGCGTGTTCAGTTTAGGCTGTAACATGTGAAATGGACCTAAACTAATACCTAAAGTGCAACTTGCTCTAAACATGGCGAAATGATAAGAGAACACCATGATAAATAGCAGAGGGAGCTTTGGCTTTCTCCAATACACCTCCAGGCTGGGTGAAGCTCTGAAAAAGAGCACCTAGCGAACTAGAACATCCCTGAAGTGGAGAGGCGAGTTAGACCAAGTGCGCGCACGTCTCACAAGGAGGCTGTCGCGTGATAAGTTGTGGGTCAGTGAATTTTATATACTGTACATTTTGCACATAAGCGAGAGGACCAGTATCGAGGAAATGGGACGGGGGAATGGCGAGGGCGGGGAACGAGGCAGCCTAGATGTCAGCCGAGCTGGCACTAGGAGTGAGGAGTGGTGCTGGGAGAGGCGGGAAGGCTTGCTGGATGTCGCTGCTTTTGCTTTGTGTGCGTGCGAATGTATATGCATGTTTCGTGTTCTGTAGGTTGATTGCCCGAGCCAGCTAGAGTGGCAGGAACAGCTGGAGGATGGAACGGAAGAGGGATGGCTAAGTGGCGTGGCGGTGGGAGAAAGGTGGTGAGGTTGGCCCTTCCCTGTTGCAAAGGGGTCTTTTTCAAGCAGTAGCGTAGCAATAGGGGGAGCAAGCTGGACAGATATAGGGGGTACGGGCAATTGATCTAGCACTGTTTTTATGTTTAGTGTAATCTCGTGAAATTGCATCACCTTGTGTATACGTGAGATCTCAGGCCAGTAGGAGGTTATGACGGGTTAGTAGTTAGTATGAGATGTGAGTAAGCTAGTCAGAGCTTATCGATGCATGTCAGCAGCGGGAACAAGTGAGAAGAGACAGAGTTTAGGAAGGGCAAGGCTAGGAGGTGGGGGAGAACAGGCACGAGCAATTAGAGGAAGGGGAGGAGAGAAGGCTGAGATGAATCAGGAGAGGTCCGTGAGGAACTGAAGTGGTTTGAAATGAGCAGAGAGGCAGGAGGAGGGTGGAGAGAGAGAAGTAAGGTGAACACCAGAGCAGGGGACGAGGGAAGACGGCTGGAAGGAAGGATGGGGCAGAAAAGAGAGTGGGGTAAGGGATTTTTTTTCAAAGGCCTTGGTGAAGATATTAGCAAGGTTGGCATTGGATAAAAAGTCGGAAGATGGAGGAAGTCTGACTGTATAAGCTCATGAATGAAAAAGTGGCGCAACTCAATGTGCTTGCTGCGTCCGTGAAAGACAGGCTTCTTAGTGAGATGAATCATGCTCGCACTGTTATAGGCAAATGACATGGAGGGCTGAGAGTGGCCCAACTCCGCAAGGAGATAAGAGAGCCAACCAGCATGATGTCCCGGGCCAAGCCGGTTTCCACTCCTCTTCCGGTGGCCGAGGGGGGGGGGGGACAGAATCCGTGTAAGAATGAGTCCCGGTAAACGTCTCACACTCAGCAATAACGACAGCCATCCACTCGATGGCATGAAAGCCCGATATAGCCTCGGAATAGGACTGAGGGGTGGGGATAGCGCAAGTGTCAACGAAGAGAGAAGTGGGGGAACCGCTGAATGAAGTCGCCGATGGCGACACAGAGGAGAGGAGAAACGGATGAACAGAGAAGAGCTCTCCAAAGGGATCTTTCAGAAGAGAAAGGTCGTGAGAGGGAGTGAGGTTAGTGAAATGGTAAGAGTGTTGAAATTTGGACAGCGCGTGGGTCATGGAGCGAAAGAGGCAATGAGAAGATGGGGGAGCGGGAACAGGAGGAAGGGAAGCACGGAGAGGTGATGAGGGAGAGGACATGGGAGCTGAAGAGGAAGAGGCAGGAGGCGATGCGCCAGAGATAATATCGGGGGGGGGGGGGGGGGGGGGGGGGGGGGGGGGGGGGGGGGGGGAGGGAGGAGAGGGGGGGTAGGGGAGGGAGGAAAGGGAGGTGGGGAAAAATATCAGAGCGAGCTATATTTCTCTATAGCTCTTATCATGATATTTCTCCAATATAACTTCAATGTTGAACCTCAAGTATAACTTGCTCTTGTTCTCTTATCATTTCTCTATATTTAGAGCAAGTTATACTTGAGGTTCAATTTAGGTTCATTTCATATGTCTTAACCTACCGAACACACCTATGAAATCGAACCAAGCCGTGGTTCCATTGTGGCTCATGTCTACTCAGTAACAACCAGTCTTCAGGACCCCTACCTTCTGATTCTGGTATTTTGATCATTTATTGACATTGCTTTAGTGGTTCCTGGTGTTTTGTTTTGACCGCACATTCATTGCATCCCAGGAGCCTTGGTGAGAACCAGTTTTCGGGGCATATACCTGCTACTCTTGCCAGCTTGAAAGCACTCACTTATCTGTAAGCACTGTCTATGTGTGGTTTGCTTTTGGTACCATGTGTGTTGTTCCCTTGTAGTCCATTTACTCTTTATTGTGGTTATGTGTGTTGCCCTTGTTGTCGCCACTCGTTCCTCCTAGCCAAATTTGCCCGCTGCACCAACGTGTGTCATTCACCCTGCTGTCCTCTCTCGACCTTCACGCGTGCGGCCATTGCACCCGTCTTCCCCGTGCACTTGTCCATTGCACCCGTCTTCCCCGTGCACTTGTCCATTGCACCCGTCTTCCCCGTGCACTTGTCCATTGCACCCGTCTTCCCCGTGCACTTGTCCATTGCACCCGTCTTCCCCGTGCACTTGTCCATTGCATCCGTCTTCCCCGTGCACTTGTCCATTGCACCCGTCTTCCCCGTGCCCTGTGTCCATTGCACCCGTCTTCCCCGTGCACTTGTCCATTGCACCCGTCTTCCCCGTGCACTTGTCCATTGCACCCGTCTTCCCCGTGCCCTTGTCCATTGCACCCGTCTTCCCCGTGCACTTGTCCATTGCACCCGTCTTCCCCGTGCCCTTGTCCATTGCACCCGTCTTCCCCGTGCCCTTGTCCATTGCACTCGTCTTTCCAGTGCCCTTGTCCATATACCTGTGCAACGAGACGAGTTACTCGCTCGGTATCGCCTGAGTTACTCGTTTGGGTGCGAGTAACGAGTTTTGGTTTTTGTGAATTTTACTTGTACGAGTATAGGCGAGTTTTACTCGCCGAGTTTTTTTTGCTCGACGAGTACTCGGGCAACCCAGGGGTTTCCCGGGCTTCCCTGGGCTTCCCTGGACCACCTTGGGTTTACCTGGGCGGCCCTGGAAACCCCTGTCCTTGGGTGGTTGCAATGGCCTTCACTAGTTGTTATGTACAGAGGCGTGCTATGCAGGTATAGGGCACATGGCCGAGCATTACTCGTGCCCGGACGAGCTTTTCTAAATGCTCGCCCGAGTTTCCTTTTGAAGGGCGAGTAACGAGTTTCTGTTTGGGGGAAAATTGCTCGGTCGAGTATTACTCGACTCGGGCAGAAACTCGGCCGAGCAAGGCTAGGGACGAGTCGAGCAATACTCGGCTCGCCCCTTTCCACAGGTATACTTGTCCATCGCACCCGTCTTCCCCGTGCCCTTGTCCATCGCACCCGTCTTCCCCGTGCCCTTGTCCATCGCACCCGTCTTCCCCGTGCCCTTGTCCATCGCACCCGTCTTCCCCGTGCCCTTGTCCATCGCACCCATCTTCCCCATGCCCTTGTCCATCGCACCCGTCTTCCCCGTGCCCTTGTCACTCTTTCTTTCATATGCTTCTCTCGTTCGCGATGCACATTCCACTGGCTCCCTCCTCCGCTGACCCAACATGCCCCCTCAAGCAGCAACATATCAGTCTCGGGCCTCACATGTCCCCCAGATGCTGCCAGCTGTGTGGTTCCTCAGTCCATCGCGAGTGCCTTCTGCCAGGAGTGCAGGAGCTTCTGTGCCACGTGTACAACAGGTGTGTTTTGAGTCGACTCAAAATACAACACACACAGGTGAAATATGTTCCACTCACTGCGTAACAATACCAGTCCGTACCAATCTATGCTAAGCTGCGCCAGTCACCCCATGCCATTCAGGCATACACTTGGCACTTGCAAGCTGGCTGATTGCCTGCATGGGTTCTTGCATTGTGCTGCACGCACGAAGATGTCTGAATGCTTCTGTCCTTCTGCGTGTGTGCATGTGCATGCATGTGTGCTGGCCAAACGCAGCTCCACCACCCCCACCAAGAGCCATGGCTTCTCCTCCTCCATCGCCGCCGCCCCTACCATCCACTACACCCAGCAGCCCTCCAACCCCATCCATCACCTCCTCCTCCTCGCCCTCCTCCTCTGATGTCTCCACCACTCCGGCCTGCCCGTGGGAGCGATTATCGGCATTGTGGCAGCAGCCATCCTGCTGCTGCTTCTCGTGCTCGCCTCTGCTTGGTGGTTTGTCATACGCGCCAGGGCATCCAACAAAGGTATCATTTTTATTTGGCGTGCCACCAGATACCACTCAACGGCAAGTGCAAGCACCATCCCCTTTGTATCTATCAAGGGAAAAAGAAACGGTACATCAACAACCCGATAATCACTTATTCGGGCTTCGAGTGTACATCTTAGTTGCGGAAGACGCAAGTCGTGTCTTGCGTCTTTTGTCTAGACGCAAGACGCGACTTAATACGCAAGACTCTTGGTCGAAATTTTTTCGGACAGCCCGAAAAAAATTCCCGGGCACGAAATTGAATTTCGCCATTTCGACGCGAAATTCAATTTCGCGCTATTTGAACCACTTCCCACCCATTTCGACCACAAAAACCAGCCCCCCAAGCAAAATTGAATCCCCCCCAACCAAAATTGAACTTGCAACCACACATCACCACTTAGTATCTAGAAATCACAACTTCTATGGTTAACCACCAAGAGGTTGGGGAGCACAAATCCCTCATTTGTGCTCCCCAACTTTTATTTCTTCCAATTCTCTTTCGAAAACCCCTAGGGCTTTAGCAACCATGTCTTCTTCTAGTAACCGTTCGTCTACCTCATCCTCCGCGAGAATGCCGTCGGCGTGGGTTCTTCCGCTCGTGTTTCTAGGGAAATGGAGGGGATTGCCAAGAAGTCTAGGTTTCCCGAGCACCCGATCTACAAGCACTAATATTTTTCTATGGATCCTAAGAAAAGGGGCGAGCAAGTGGAGTGTTTGTGGTGCGGCAAGAAGTTTTCATTTAGTAGTAGCCGGGCTCCCGAGCATCTCGCCGAGTGGAACGACCCCCACCGGCGACGCGAGGCGGGAGTCGTTTGCAAGGATGTGCCGGAGGAAATTTCCACTGAGATTCGCGAGGTGTTCGAGGAGAAGAATCGGGCGCGCAACCAAAAGGCGTGTGCGACGAATGCGGCGATCGCGGCGGTCAGCGGCAAGAGCGAGGCGAAAGGGAAGGGGAAGCGCGGGCGCATGGAGGACTTTTACGGCGAGCGTGGAATGGCGGCAAGGCGGGCGGCCGACGAGGCGATCGTCCTTGTGAGGATCTGGTTCAGGAAAGATGATTCTATTGAATGATTCACCTGGGTACAAGGCGAGGCTATATATAGGCTCGACACAAAGGCAGTAACACGGATGTTACTTGAAGGTTCCGTGGGTCGCGAAGCGTCCCGAACGGGTCCTTCCCGAATTCAGTAGAAGGCAATTCGGTGGCAACCGAAAAGCCTAGAATTCAGTGCACTCAACCTAGTTCGGTGCCTAAAACTATAATAATATAGTAAAAGCAACGAACCTAGGAAATCAAGCAAAAGCATGCAAGATAAAATAAAGCTAAGCTAGTAATAACATAATAAAGTCCAGGCAAGCTAGCAAAGCCAGCATAAGCCGTCGTACTCTCACACGTCCCCCCCTCAAAACTGGGTGGCGTGAGAAACACCCTGCTTGACAAGATAGTCCTTGAGAGCACGGCGTGCGTTGCCCATATCAGCTTCTGCAACCCAACTGTCCTCCGATGGGTCATATCCCTTCCAGCGTATCAGGAACTCGAGCGTGTTGCCGCGTCTGCGTCGATGAGCGAGAACTTTATTTACCTCGTACTCTGGTACATCCTGTATGAGAACAGGTGATGGTGGCGGTAGCTGGCGTCCCTGGAACTGTTGGTTGGGGTCCTTGTAGGGCTTTTGTAGCTGAACATGGAAAGCGTTGTGAAGCTTCCACGTAGTAGGTAAGCGCAAGCGGAATGTTACTGGTGTCACCTGTGCCTCAATGCGAAAAGGACCACAGAAGCGAGGCCGGAGCTTGGACGGTAGGTGAGACAGGTTCAAGTTGTGCGTGTCAAGAAGCACCTGATCTCCGACTGCTACTGAGTGATCACGTCGCTGGCGATCGGCATACTGCTTCTGGGAGTTCTGCATCGTGGAAAGACGTCGCTGAGTCTTCTCCCATAACTGCCGCATGGTGGTGACGAAGTCGTGTGCGGCTTGGACGTGTGCCGGTGTGGTTGGCTGCTGTGGTGTAAGTGGTTCCCGTCCGTAGCACAGGAAGAATGGAGATTTCCCTGTGGCCGCATGCGACGCGTTATTGTAAGCGAACTCAAGTGTCGGTAACTGTGAATCCCAGTGGCTGACGTCGTCTTTGCAAGCTGTGCGCAGTAACTGTTCAACCACCTGATTGAGTCGCTCTGTCTGTCCGTCAGTCTGGGGGTGGTACGCTGAAGACATCGCAAGCTTTGTCCCCAACAATCCCATGAGTTCCCTCCATAACATAAACTTAGGGTCTCTGTCCGAGATAAGTGTAGCGGGGATGCCGTGGATGGTGATGATGCGGTCGAAGAAGAGGCGAGCAGTTGCTTCAGCAGTAGCCGTGGCGTTGGTCGGGATGAAGTGTCCCATTTTAGAGAACTTATCGATCACCACGAGTATAGCGTCATGCCCTCGTGAGGTCGAAGAAAGCCCAGTAATGAAGGCGAGGCTGACAACTTGCCATGGCTGCTCCGGTACGGGTAAAGGCTGAAGTAACCCTACAATTTTCTGGTTGCTATTCTTCATCCACTGGCATGTGTCGCATGAAGTGACGAACTGCTGCACGTCTGTTGCCATCCGGGGCCAGTAATAATACTTTGCTATTCCCGCTAACGTCTTGTTGCTCCCGAAATGTCCCGCGTATGCCACATCATGAATTCCTCCAGTAAGATCTGTCAGGGCGGGGCATAGTTCGGTACCCAAATCTTTCCTGATCCCTTTCTTACAGCTAGGTCCTTCTCCCACTGTAACAGCTTCTGTTTCTCTGCTGTAGCGATCTCTGCGTCCACGGAGTATCCATGCTGGAATAGACCCTTGAGCAAAGGGTTCATCCCGTCGAGTTGGATGCCTGCTACATGACCGGGGCGGCTCAACGCGTCAGCTTTGTTGTGTAGCCCGGGCTTGTAGACGATGTCGTAGTGGAAGTGGGTCTCCAAGAAGTCTACCCACCGCACCTGTCGTCGTGAGAGCGTCGGCTGCGACTTCAGGTATTTGAGACTGCAGTGGTCAGTGTAAACTGTAGTCTTGGCTCCCTCTAGGTAACACCTCCACGCCTTGAAGGTTGTGACTATCGCTAAGGCTTCCTTGTCATGGATAGGGTAGTTCAGTTCTGCTCCGTGTAGCTTCTTACTCAGATAGGCGATGAGCTGCAAACCACGTGTGTGATCCTGCATCAGTACTGCTCCGACTGCTTGGTCACTAGCGTCTGCTTCCACCACGTAGTCTCTGTCTGGATTCGGTAGGATGAGTACTGGCGCTGTAGTCAGTGCTGTCTGTAGCTGCTCCATGGCTTGCTGATGAGGAGTATCCCCTGTATCCGTCCACCTTTGCAGCTTCACACGTTTCCCGTCGTTGTAGATACACGCCTTCCAGTTGACCCAGTCGATCTCGGGGTTGAACTGCTTCAGAAAATCACGCCCCAAGATGAAATCTAATCCCTTGATGTTCGTGATCGGCAATGTCGGCTTCAACCTCAACGCTCCTATCTGCAGCTGCAGTGTTGACTCGCCGTGGATGGGAAGCTTCGTACCGTCCACCATCGTTGCTGTAAACTGTGAGGGTCTTTTCTGAGGACTCTTCAATTTTCTCCAGCGTCCCACAGTCGCACACCGAGTGGGACGCACCACTGTCCACCAGTGTCTGGAGGCGTCGCCCGTTGCAGATCACCTCGAGTACTAGTGGCTGTTGCTGCTCCGAGTAGCCGTAGATGGTATCGCTTATAGGATCGTAGGGTACGTCGAATATGTCATCCCTAGGTCCTGCGCTCGAAGATGCAGCTTCAATATCAGGTATCACCTGAGTAGGGTTAGAAAATTTTATCCGAGGCTGGTACAGCTTCTCTTGAGCCTGGAACCTTCCCCTAGGCCTTTGCAGCTGTGTAGGCTTCATCTGTGGGGAACAGGGAGCCTTTAAACAGAGCTGCTGGGAGAGAATATTAACTCCTCGGAACGCTCGACCCTTGTTAGCGCTCCGGAGTAGGGTCCCCATATTACCCGGTACCGGTTTAATTTCTGACTCTCCCTTAATAAAGGCTTGAAACCCACGAGAAGTAATATTCTTACTTGTCGAGGTGAACGGCTGGAGTTTCCCAGTCGGTGCAGGGTCTTGTTTCGCGGAGTCTCCATTTGTCTCGGCGATTTCCCCTGGTGCCGGCTGGTCGTGACGTTTTAAACTCGCGCCATCATATTCTCCTTTTTTCGCCCTCTCCGAAGTTGCCACGTTGTCCGTTTTCTGCTTCGGGGGTGCCGCACTGTTCTTGTATCTCAGCTCCGCACGCCTTCCCTTCATTTCCCAACACGCCAAGATACGATGTCCTGTAGCGCCGCAAAATTTGTACGTCTCAGTTTTTGCTAGCCGCTGCTCCACATCGCCCTCGTCGTTCTCCATCGGTTCAGCAGTCGTGGGTGGTGCCAATCGCCCCATGCCACTAGTTGGCTTGTTGCGTCGTGTTCCGTAGTAGCTACTGTTCAACGTGTCGAACTGTTCGATCAGTGCTGCCCGAAACTGCGCCCACGTCCCTTCGCCTTGGACTATTCTGTTGTTGATCCACTCTAGAGCTGGGCCTTGTAACAGTGTTGCTGCGAGCCGTATGCGCATTGCGTCTTCTGTCGGGGTCGTGCACCCAACGGCTTCGAAGTAAATTTCGAGTTCAGCTACAAATCGACGAACGTCGTTCCCTTTAACTATTAAATCGAACGCCTCCGGTAGCCTCAGCTTCACTGCTTCGAGGTTAACTGTAGCTGCTGCCGTTGTCGCAGGTAGAATTGTCGGTGTCGCCGCTGCTGCTGCTGCTGCTGCTGTCGCTGCTGCATTCGCTGCTGCTGTGGCGGTTGCCGACTGGTTCGCAAGGAGTTTCTCGAGTCGTGGGAGCGCCGCACGTATCTGCTTATGCTCGGCACGTAACTCCGCGATTTTCTGTACTGAAATATCTCTTTTTCCCTCCATTTGGCGATTTACAGAAAGAAGCGCGACGAAAATAATTGAATTTTGGGTGCTGGTCGACTTACTGCGAGTCGAGTTGACTGTAGAATCGACGAGCACAAATTCTGTAAGTCGCGTAAATCTTCCTTAGTCGAAATTCGCGTTCGATCTCGGCCGTTGAGAAGAAACTCGATCCGACGCTCCAAATTCCAACTTTTTGGGGCGAAATTCTCTGGGCCGTTGAGATGAAACTCGATCGAACGGTCGAAACTCCAACCTTTCCACCAGAAAATCTGAGGGGTGTTCGAAAACCGAATCGAGGGGGACTTAGAAAAATTGCGCGGAACTGGTTTTACATATCCGTATCGGCGCCTTCGTCGTCGCCCCCGCGGTTTTTAAAGGCCGGAACTACGCGGTTGAAGACCTCGCGTGTAAACCCGCTCTGATTACCAAGTGTGAGGATCTGGTTCAGGAAAGATGATTCTATTGAATGATTCACCTGGGTACAAGGCGAGGCTATATATAGGCTCGACACAAAGGCAGTAACCCGGGTGTTACTAGAAGGTTCCGTGGGTCGCGAAGCGTCCCGAACGGGTCCTTCCCGAATTCGGTAGAAGGCAATTCGGTGGCAACCGAAAAGCCTAGAATTCGGTGCACTCAACCTAGTTCGGTGCCTAAAACTATAATAATATAGTAAAAGCAACGAACCTAGGAAATCAAGCAAAATCATGCAGATAAAATCAAACTAAGCTAGTAATAACATAATAAAGTCCAGGCAAGCTAGCAAAGCCAGCATAAGCCGTCGTACTCTCACAGTCCTCTACCTCGCGAGCACGCGCACGTCGGAGTCTCAGTGCGAGCACCCGCTCTTCCTCAACATGCTGCGAGCCGTCACCGCCGCCGGCCCGAACTACGTCCCGCCCAAGCGGCACTTCGTCGGAGGCGCCGACTTGCATGAGTGCAAGCAGCGGATCGAGAAGGCGTTGTCGCCGTTGACGAAGTCGTGGAGGGAGACGGGCGTGACCATCGCCAGCGACATGATGCAAGACAAGGGTGGGTGCGCGCAGATGAACATCATCTGCACCAACGACACTGGAGCGGTCTTCGTTGAGGCGGTCGACTGCAAGGCGGTGACGAAGAGTGGCGTGTTCATAGCCAGCATTCTGCGGCCAATCGTCGAGCGCATCGAGGCAGAGCACGTCGTGGCGCTGTGCACGGACGGCGGCAGCAACTACAAAGATGCTGGCAAGCTGCTGCAGAAGGAGTGGCCGCATCTCGACCTCGTTCCCTGCGCCACGCACGTGCTGGACCTGCTGATGGAGGACATCGGCAAGATGGACTGGGCGAAGGTGGTCGTGACCCAGGCTGACAACATCATCTCCTTCGTGTGCGGACACCAGTGGACGCGCGCCTTCATGCGCGACCCGGAGCTGCACGGCGAGGAGAAATCGCTGCAGGTGTTGCGCCCGGCAGGCACGCGCTTTGGAACGCAGTTCATCACAGTGTCTCGTCTGCGCGCCTTTCGCCAGCAGCTGACGGCGACCTGGGAACGGAACTGGAACCGGCGACCTGGGAACGGAACTGGAACCGGCGACCTGGGAGCTGGCTTCCCCGTGCGAGCGGAACTGGTCTACGTGGGATGGCGTGCACACGGTGCGCAGGAACCGGCTCGGGTCGGAGAAAGTGCGCGACCTTGTGTACGTTGCTCACAACTGAAATGTTGTGCACAACTTCCACAAGGATGCGGAAGCGGGGCCTAGTGTGGTGGGAAGGAAGGGAGCAGTGTTTGAGGGGAGCATTCCCCCCCCCTCCCCTCCCCGAGGGGTACAAGTTGGAGGAGGATGGGGAGGTGGAGGCGGACGAGGACGACGTGTGCATCGATGAGTGGGAGAAGCAGGAGCAACTGGAGAAGGCAGGGGAGGAGGAGGAGGAGGAGGAGGAGGAGGAGGAGGAAGAGGAGGAGGAGGAAGAGGATGGAGGCGCGGTGATTGCTGAGAGATGTAGTAGTAGTAATGTTCACTGAGATTGCTACTACTAGAGAGACATGGAGACCTAACTATATGTGATGATATGTGAAGATTTTAGTGATTTCTAAGAATGCGGAAAAAAATATGGTGGGGGGGAAATTTCACCCTTTTGTGACATAGGTGCATGTTCCCCACCCTCCCCGTGCTCCATAGAACTTTTTTTGGGCTGCCCAGACTTTTTTTTTGGCCTGCCCGGGTTTCTGTCTAATAGTGTGTCTAATCCATGCTGCCTAGCGTCTTAGACGCTGCGTCTTTACGGACGCGTCTAAGACGCTAGATGCGTCTTCCGCAACTAAGGTGTACATGCCTATCCCGTTTGTACTTGTAATTTAGTTCCACACCTATTGGCTCTCCCTTGACCCCTCCTTCCCACCCACCCCACCAAAACCCAAATTGTCGATGCAGCCGCGCTCGCCCCTGGCTTGCCGAATGCACCCACGTCATGCCGACGGTATTCTCTGGCTGTGGTGGCTCGTGCGACTTGCAACTGGTCCAAGAAGTGCCTGCTGGGGTCAGGCGCGTATGGAGACGTGTACCGCGGGGTGTGCCCCGAGGATGGCACCACGCTGTGGGCCGTGAAGCGCGCCAAAGTCATCACAGCCGACTTCCACAGAGAGGTGGGCCAAGGATTCTCAAGAATAGATGTCAAACGGGTCAAATTCATCACCGATGACTTGCCCGGAGACGTAGGGGGGGAGGGGGTGGGTAGGTGTATTAGCAGGAGTGTTGGGGTTTTTCAGGTGTAAAAGGGAAGCCTTGAGACTGATCATGAAGCGCGCCAAAGTCATCACCGCTGACTTTCACAGAGAGGTGGGCGAGGTGGGCGGGAGGGGATGGGCTGGGATGGAGCACTCTGACTCCATAAGAATGTCTGCTCTGCTCCATTTTCAAGTGTTTCACTAGAGAAATTTGAGAACAATGATGCAAGAGTGGTAAGCAACAATGACTACATCAAATGCAAGTCTGCCTAGCACAGAGGCAGATCGACCGCCAGCACAGCAAAATTGGCGATCTGCCAGCACTGCAAGTCGGCCCCACGCCTACGCTGCAAAAGAGTGGCTTGCCAACGTAGCAAGTCAGCAGCTTGCCAGTGCTGCAGCAAAGTGGTCTGTCAGCATTGCAACCGCAGGTATGCATGTGCACGCACTTACTTTGCAGGTGCTTGTAGACGGTTGTCTACAACGTGCACCATCACGCACACCGCGCAACAGCCAAGTCGGCCACCTGCCGACAGAATCGCTTGATGAGCCACGTCGACCACGTGCTGCCACGTCGGTCGACTTCGCCACAGCAGCCTCGACGACGTTCGCGCACCTCTGCAGAACCTCGACGGCTCCGTGATGGTCCTGCACAAGTCGTTAAACTCCTTCGTTAACCACCTCTGTCGAAGTCAGACGTCGACTTCTCGTCTTCGACGGTCTCGCAGTGGTTCCGTGCAGGACGACCAACATTGTCGACATGCTCACCCAAGGCGATGTCTACCACTGCAGGCGGTCGGCTGCACCTCCCGTGCACCCAACCACAATGTCGGCTTCGCCCAAACAAGGGCGGGGCCAACTCCCGTCAACCTAATCAAACCCTCTCTTTTCCTCCTCCCACTGCTTCCCTTGCCTGCCCACAAGTGGCTCAGATGGCCACGAAGCACCACCCCAATCTGGTGTGGCTGCTGGGTTATGCGGTGGGCAGCCTTTGAGTCACGGTTTGCCCCTCTCTGTTCCCATGCACTCCTTTCAGTCCTTCGTTCCCTCCTACCTCTCTCTCTTCTCTTGCTCCCACAGGTGGCTCAGATGGCCACGAAGCACCATCCCAATCTGGTGCGGCTGCTGGGGTTTGCAGTGGGAGGTGATGTGAACACGCGGGTGGAGAATGTCCTCATCTACGAGCCAATGGCGACCTGCAGGGGTGGATCAGCACAGGTACAATTGGCAATCGAACTTTCAAATGACCGATTGAGCCGACCATGCCTGTCTGTTGTGGTCAAGTCGGGGGGGGTTCAGTGAGCAGTCCATTTCGAGTGAAGCCATGCAGGGTTGAATAGCCGGGGGAGGAACCACGGCTCGCAGTCGTCAACTTGACGGGCTGGATCCGGTTCGTTCACAAGTGCACCTCCATTCATGGTTGTGTTGGTGCGCTGTGCGGGTCGTGTTGTGTTCACCACGAAATTGAAAGTAGTCCAGGTCCTTGAGATTGGCTTCAGGAATCTGTCTTCGTTCTTTCTTCAAAGCTGCCCTTCCTACACCCACACCTCAAGTTTTAACTCTTCCCATGGTAATGCAACAAATAGCAGCATTCGCAAGAGCAGTACAAGAATGAGCAAATGCAGTAGAAGCAAAAGCAGCATCAGCAGAAGCAAAAGCATAGGCAGGCAAAGCAGCACCACCACCAGCAGGGGCAGTAGCACAACAAGGAGCAGAAGTAGCTCAAGTGCAGCTCACCAAGAAGAAGAGAAGACCAACTGTGTCTGTGGGGTGTCGGGACCAGAATGAGGGGCCAATTTTGCAGGCTAGCACAACTGCTGTACGAGGGGATAAGCCGGCTGGGCTTGTCACAAGGTGCCTATTATGACCAGTCATTCCCCCCTTGAATTGTTTCCACCAATCACTTCAATGTGAGGCTTACAACCTCGTCCAGACGTGGCTAGTGAAGAGGTGGCTCAGCTCGGCTCAGCCTGTGCTTGCACCTAGCCCCACATGATGAACTTCGGGCCCATATTCTCCAACAGTCGTCACCTCTAGTGCCACCTAGTTTTGAGACGTCTCAAAGCGTTGGGCCCATTTTCTCCAACAGAACAATCATCATCTCTAGTGCCTCCTTGCCTCCTTGCCTCCTTGCCTCTACCGTTCTCCAGATTCACCCTCGAGTTTGACCCTGCAGCAGCGCCTGGACATCCTCATAGGGGTGGCGCGTGGGTTGGAGTATCTCCACAGCTTTGGCATCGTGCACCGCGACATCAAGCCCGCCAACATCCTCATTGACGCCCACATGCAGGTGCTGTGCGGTGATGAGGGGTTGATGTGCGGTGACACAGGTGAGGTGATGAGTGGCTGACAATGCATTTGACTCAAGGCCCGCTTCCACTTCACGTAAAGGTGTCATTATTGGCTCCTCGTGTGTGCTCTTGCTGTTCAGGCTGTTGGTCGGCAGGTTGATGCTAACCCTGCCAAAAAGCACATGGTGCAACCAACCTCACCCCCGCGTTACCTCTTCCCTGCACACCCATGATTGTTACTGCCTGTCCTCCCCAGGCCAAGGTGGCCGACTTTGGGCTGGTGCACGTGGGGGAGGGCACTGCAATGGGCTCCACACGAGTGATGGGAACGGTGGGCTATGTGGACCCTGCTTATTCCAGGACTCACAAGGCCACCACCGCTACTTATGTGTACAGGTGTGCTGCTCATGTGTACAGGTGTGATGCTCATGTGTACAGGTGTGATGCTCATGTGTACAGGTGTGCTGCTCATGTGTACAGGTGTGATGCTCATGTGTACAGGTGTGATGCTCATGTGTACAGGTGTGATGCTCATGTGTACAGGTGTGATGCTCATGTGTACAGCTTTGATGCTGATGTGGTTAGATTTGATGCTGATGGTAACAGCTGTGATGCTGATGTGTACAGATGTGATGCTGATGTGTACAGCTGTGATGCTGATGTGTACAGGTGTGGTGCTGTTGTGTACAGGTGTTCTGCTGATGTGTATAGCTTTGATGCTGATGTGTGCAGGTGTATGATTTTGTGTATAGTAGCCGTGGTGGTGAGTAAAGGAGCCATGGGGATGTATAGGTGCCATGGTGGTGTATGCAGGGGCCATATGGGTTTGAATAGCTGGCATGCTTCTGTACAGGTCAAAGCTTGCCAAAGCTTCTGGTTGACGTGACGTGCGAAGTACTGAATGGAACGCACCTCAAGGAGGTGTGGCTCAATGCTGGATTGGGGTGGAAAACCAACCAAAAGCAAAGCTAGGGTGGATTGGTCAAGGTTCACCATTCTAGTTCACTACAGACCTTGGCTGGGCATAAACCCAGCCAACCGAACGCCATGTTCGCTCTTCCGGTGGTCCTCGTTTCAACCAAGTCGACCCGACCCGACCCGACCCGACCCGACCTGTCCCGACTCCGGGTCAGGATTTGCCGGCAGACCAGGCCTCTTCTAAGACGGGTCGGATCGGGGAAATCCTCGGGTGGGCCCGCACCATATTGACCCTCTAAAATCTCCTTGCTCACAACTAGAGATGAGCATTTGCCCTGCGCGGGTCGGGCCGGCCCGACCCAACCCGTGGTTTAGCCCGGGTCGGGTCAGTGGTTTCACTTGCCTGCCCCGTGCGGGCCGACCCGACCCGACCCGGGCTAAAACCCGACCCGAGCATGGAACTCGGGCCGAGTCGGGTCGGGTTTCGGGTCAGGCTTGACCCGGCTCGAATTCGATTCAGGACCAGGGAAGTCAGGTCGGGCTTTTGGCCCGACCCGATTTCGACACAATGGGGATGAAACCCTAGGTCAAATTGTTGTCGAGGGCTTTTTTATCCCCTCGAAATCAGAACCTACCCACGCTCTCAATCTTGCCTAACGGCAGCAAGCAAGTCACCTAAGCTTAGAAACTACTTAGTTACAACCTGTTCAAACCTCATTGACAGACATGTATCGTATCCTGCTGTTCACGAAAAATCGCGATCCAGGAATGGCGTTTTTTTTACAACTTCGCGTTTTACTCCAATTCACAGGCTGCACGCCTCGTTTTAGGCCAGCAGTTGCTGCTCATAGGCGCGCCAGCAACTAACATTGCACCATTCCGTAGAGGTTCTTAGGGGCCGCGTGCAGGGTGTAGGGGCACCGCGGGCAAAGGTGCTGGCGCCAGGGTATGGGCGGGTCATCCTGGCCCGACCCGACCTGACCCGTACCCGGGTCCAAGTTGACCCGAGTGTGTAGGCCCGGTTCGGGCCAGAACCTTCAGGACCCTGGCCCGAGCCCGGCCCGACCCGACCCGACCCGGGAGCCCGTATGGCCCGGCCAGGTCGGGTCGGGTCGGGTCGGGCCAGGCCGGGTTGGTTGCTCATCTCTACTCACAACCATGAGGTGCTTTTTGCACAAAGATTACAACAAGATGACGCTAGCATGAGTGCGCCATGAGATTACTTGTGTGTAGTGTGTTATTGCTTATATCAATTGTAGGTTACAATGGCACCAAAACGAATCTAAGGATCAAAACAAGATCAGTCAAGTGTTGCACAAAGATGATATCATGAGAGCCTATTCGCCTGACAGCGTGGCACTTGCTCCCTCAAACTTTTCATTTGAGCAACGGTCTGTTTGGCAAGATACGCACAGAGTGGAGAGTATGACAGGGTTACCCATCGTACTCTCCACTCTGTGCGTATCCAAGTTTAGGGAACCTAATCCCTTGTGAGAGTTGGTTCAAGTGGCTCATATACATTCCGGGCGTAACATACCCTCTTAAGTATCCTAGCTTGTAAGTTGGTGTGCAGGAGGCAATGAACTGATATACTCTTCCACAAAAATATGCCTACAGTATAGGAGATCTTTGAAGAAATGTCGTATCAAGGTTGTGTGCTATCGCCGAGTGTGTATGTGATTACTTGAATGAACCCTCATGCAAGTCATTTAATATTCGCAGAAACTCCATCCCTGAACAACATAGAAAAATCACACCTACAAATATGAACCAGGGGGGAATGTGCACTCACACATGACCCAATTAGCATGCTCTTCAATTCATGTTTACAACAAAATTAAACTACCCCTTGAGAGAATCGACATTGTGTGTTCCCCCGTTTTTTTTACAACCTTGTTTCCTCCCCTTCAGCTTTGGCATTCTAATGCTGGTGATGCTGTCGGGCAGAGGAGCCATTGTGAACGAGATCCCGGACAGTGAGCCGGCCAGTGAGCCGGCCAGTGAGCCGGGCAGTGAGCCGGGTGAATCTGGCAACCAGGAACCAATCTCCATTTCCGATTGGGTACGTACGTTGCCTTCGCTTGTGATGAACCATTGCTGAATCATTCCTTGCGATTCCTTCTTTTGTGCTCTGTCTGCAATTGTTACGCTTGCACTCATCGTTCTTATCCTCTCAAATCAAGCCCATCGCTTGTGTTTTTCGCTAACAATTAACAGGCGTCCGGTCTCATGGCTGGTGGGCAGACATCACCTCTCAGAGACCCTCGCATGGAAGCACCAGATGGCATCATCACTCACCTGGCCCAGCTGGCTGTAAGCTGCACTGCCATGCCCACTGCCTCCCGCCCCTCCATGTCCCGCGTGGCCCAGGACTTGGAGGCATTGAGAGGGGAGGTGGGAGGGGGGGATGTGAGGGCAAGCGCTGCAGCACGGGTGGATGAGTTGTTGGTGAGTCAGCGGCCTGTGAGGAGCATGGAGGAGGATCTGGCACTGCTGGAACAACAATATGCTGACCAGGGCAGAACCGTGGGGTGATGTTTGAGTTGACTCAGAAGTCACCTAGTCAGCGCCCTGTGAGGAGCATGGAGGAGGATCTGGCACTGCTGGAACAACACCACACTGACCAACCAGGGCAGAATCGCAGCCAGCGTTTTGAACTATGCGGGGATCATAAGTTCTAGAGCACATGCAGATGAAGGGATTTTGTCGTATTGGTCAGCAATCTTGTGGAGGATTATTTGCTAGCACTGTCAAAGGAACATGTCTTGCTACGACACCCATGTGCGCCTGCACGATGTAGAGTGGGGGCTTCGGCCATTCATCTCTTGAATAGAAGACGGGTGTCTTCAATTGTGGTTTTAATATATATGGCGGGTATATTCCCTATATGATGCGTGTGTATATTGGCAGAGCTGTGTTGGAGTTTGACTTTGGCTGAACCCTAACCTTGTTGAGGTTTCCACTTTCTACCGTAATTCGTGCCACACTCATTCATTTTATATCCATCTTCATTGAAGCATATTCATTTCACTTTCAGCTTTCGGATACGCTTATACCGCAAATGCACACCCTCCTTCACTTCGCTGCATGGAGCTTAGAGCGTGTTACGTACCCCTTATTTTGGTGTTAGGCCCCGGTTGCCTCCAAAAGTCGACTCAACCTGACTGGTCAGGTCAACCGGGGCTGTCAACTTGGCCGGTTGGGTACCTAGCAGGCAACCTGCAAATGTACCACTCGCCTGCTTTTGGGACCCAACCGTGCCAACAGTATTTCGGGTAGACCCAACAGTCACTGTGTCAATCTTAGTGGCCAAAATTTGATGAAATTTTGATTGCACCAGTCACATCAAGTCTCGCTAGTGCAACCTGCCCGCAATGTTTTCGTGCACCCTCTGTTTGCGCGGCGGTTAGGTACGTTCAACCCTGGTTGCCTCAATACGGTTGTACCTGGTCGAGACCAGTCGGTTGCCCGACTACGTGGTTGCCTCGACCAGCTGCCAGACGGGTATGGTACGCACGTACATTACTGTACACTGTAGAGCGTAGGGTTATCCGGTAACCCTACGTTCAACCCAACCGGCATGTTTGAGGCAACCGCGACCGGGCCCCAAAATAAGGGGTACGTAACACGCTCTTACCCATCCCGCCACATGCGTACGTCACAGTACAAATTTTTGCATCCCTCTAGCCTCTCACTCGCGCCACGCATGGACAACACCAGTCAGCCTGTTGAGGACAATACCATAAGAGCGTAGCGTCCTCCCTCTCGCCGCCCTGGTCGTCTCGCCACTTTCTACCCATGGAGCCACCTGCTCGACCTGCTCGAAGTGCCGCCGTCTGCGTATGTTTTGCCCTCACTCTTTTCCTCGTCGTCCTAGTACTTTCCACGGATCCGCCATGTACTCGCCGTTTTTCGACTCTCGAATTCTCGTCACTCGCTCCCTCCCTCGGGCGTACCATCTCAATCCTATCACCAATCGCGTCTTTCGTTTCTTCCGGGCGGCCCGAGCCTCCGTCGCACGCGACGATACGCGACGCTCCGCCGGAACGCCTCTCGCAATTGTCGCCGTCGCGTCGCTCGTCGCCGTCGCACGGCGTGGGCGACGCGTCGGCGATTCTCCCCGAGTACCTGGGCCACGTGGCAACGAGTGTCGAGGGCCTCGCGTGGGGCGACAGGTGCTTCGAGCAGGTCACGGCGCGACTGATCGTGCGAGAGGGGAGGAGAGACCGCACGGGCGGAGGAGAAAGATTAATAGGAGGAGAGGCCGTGGGGATGAGGAGAAGTGTGAGGGACGAGGGTTGGGGTGTGGGGGAAGGGCATGGAGGGACGAGGGCAAGGAGGAGAGGGATGCGAGGCGATGGTGGGGGGAGGGAGTGGGTGGTGGCGATTCAGCGGGACCCAGAGGCGGATGGGCCGGCACAGGCGGATGGGACGAGGAGGGAGGGGGGGTTGAATGGGCGGCAGCAGCAGGCTGCAGCGAGCGTGACTCTCTCTGTGCGTGTCACATGCATCCCGTGGCGTGTGGAGTCATGTAGAATAGAACCTGTCAGCGCGAGTTTGAAGCATGTATGAGCAAGCGATGCCCACCCCCACGCCCACCCCCACGCCCATCCCCACGCCCACCCCCACGCCCCCCGCTCTGCAAAGCGGAGACGTGTATGCGCCCGCCTCGCAGTTTCTCCCAACACGCCTTCCCCCCAACACGCCTTCCCCCCAACACGCCTTCCCCCCAACACGCCTTCCCCCCAACACGCCTTCCCCCCAACACGCCTTCCCCCAACACGCCTTCCCCCCAACACGCCTTCCCCCCAACACGCCTTCCCCACAACACGCCTTCCCCCCAACACGCCTTCCCCCCAACACGCCTTCCCCCCAACACGCCTTCCCCCCAACACGCCTTCCCCCCAACACGCCTTCCCCTCAAACGCCTTCCCCCCAAACGCCTTCCCCCCAACACGCCTTCCCCCCAACACACCTTCCCCCCAACGCGCCTTCCCCCCAACACGCCTTCCCCCCAACGCGCCTTCCCCCCAACGCGCCTTCCCCCCAACGCGCCTTCCCCCCAACGCGCCTTCTTCCCAGCGTGCCTTTCATATGCCATCCCCCTCAGCCCAGCCCCACGGCAAGCAGCACATGCTGTGCACAGCGCAGACGTGCACGCCCTCGCCACGCCCTTCTTCCCGCCCCACGTCTGCGCTCCCCCAAACTTCCCGGCCCAACATGCCTTCCCTATGCCATCCCCTCCCCCACCAGCTCCGTGGAAAGCGCCACATGCTGTGCACAGCCGTGTATGCTCTCGCCACGCCCTTCGTCCCTTTCCCCCACCGTGCCTGCCTGCCCTGTGCCACCTCCCTCCCCACCAGTCGCGTGGAAAGCGCCACATGCTGTGCACGGCCGTGTACGCGCTCGCCACGCCCTTCCACCTGGTGGTGCGCGTGCTGCCGCTCGCCCTGCCTCGCCCCATCACCGTGCTCTGGCCGCCCATGGGGCCCCTCGAGACCGACTATGTGCGTACTGTGTTGCATGCATGCATACATACATGTGTGTGCATTTCATTCCACGAATCTCTGTGCTTTTCATTCCACGAATCTCTGTGCTTTTCATTCCACGAATCTCTGTGCTTTTCATTCCAGGAATCTCTGTGCTTTTCATTCCACGAATCTCTGTGCTTTTCATTCCATGAATCTCTGCTTTTCATTCCTTGCATGCGCTGTGTTCTTCAGCACAGGCTGCACCCGGCACTCGTGTCCCGAGGCCAATTGCTCCCCCCTCCTCTTCCCGCCATTCCCGCCCCTCCCATCCCACACTGCAGGTGCAGCAGCGGGGCGTGGCTGTGTTCCGCCTGCCCCACGGGCTGTGGGGGGCGGTGAAGGCGCTGCTGCAGCTGCTGCCTTTGGCGTCCGACAGCAGTGTGGGGGAGGCGGCTCAAATGCGCTTTCTGCAGCAACACATGCATGCCTCCTTCCACCCCCATGTGCATGCCTCCTTCCACCCCCATGTGTATGCCTCCTTCCACCCCCATGTGTATGCCTCCTTCCACCCCCATGTGTATGCCTCCTTCCACCCCCATGTGTATGCCTCCTTCCACCCCCATGTGTATGCCTCCTTCCACCCCCATGTGTGTGCCTCCTTCCACCCCCATGTGTATGCCTCCTTCCACCCCCATGTGTATGCCTCCTTCCACCCCCATGTGTATGCCTCCTTCCACCCCCATGTGTATGCCTCCTTCCACCCCCATGTGTATGCCTCCTTCCACCCCCATGTGTATGCCTCCTTCCACCCCCATGTGTATGCCTCCTTCCACCCCCATGTGTATGCCTCCTTCCACCCCCATGTGTATGCCTCCTTCCACCCCCATGTGTATGCCTCCTTCCACCCCCATGTGTATGCCTCCTTCCACCCCCATGTGTATGCCTCCTTCCACCCCCATGTGTATGCCTCCTTCCACCCCCATGTGTATGCCTCCTTCCACCCCCATGTGTATGCCTCCTTCCACCCCCATGTGTATGCCTCCTTCCACCCCCATGTGTATGCCTCCTTCCACCCCCATGTGTATGCCTCCTTCCACCCCCATGTGTATGCCTCCTTCCACCCCCATGTGTATGCCTCCTTCCACCCCCATGTGTATGCCTCCTTCCACCCCCATGTGTATGCCTCCCTGCACTGCCACTTGTATATGTCACCCCCTTGTCTCTATCTACACTCACAAACATGCATAGTGTTTCACACTGCCGTACCTGCCGCCCATGCCGCCCTGCTGCTGACTAGCAAGTTGCGAGTGAATTCTCATCAGCATCCCTAGCCTCTCCCTACACACCACCCTTCCCCCCCACCAGGCCGCTAAGCCCTCCACCCGACCTCACCCTCCCCACCGCCACGGCCTTCCTGTCAAGCGGCGATGTGCTGCTGACGAGCAAGTTCCGCGGGCCGTGGGGTCTCTTTGAGACCATTGAGAAGTGGGTCACCGGCAGCTATGCCGCTCATGCCGCCCTGCTGCTGCGCACTCATGCCGCGGGGGCGGGTGCGGGTGGGGGAGGTGATGGGGGTGATGGGGCTGAGGGAGTGGGGGAGGGGAGGGAGGGGGAGCTCTGGGTTGCAGAGAGCGGGCGGATCAGCGTGGCGGGGCGGCCGGAGATTGCGGTGGAGCGGTTTGCAGAGTGGTGGAGGCGGATGCAGAGGGATCCGAGTGGGCAGCACGTGGTGGTGCTGCGGCTGGGGGAGGAGGGGCGGCGGCGGTGGGACAATGGGCGCGCGTGGGCGTTCGTGCGAGCTATGGAGGGGCGGCAGTTTGGGTATCACAATATCATGTTCAGCTGGATCGATACACCTGCTGGCAACTTCCCTCCGCCCATCAATGAGAACACGGTGCGAGGGGGGGGGGGCTGGTGTTTGTGTTTGAGTCAACTGAACGATGGAGGGGCGGCACTTTGGGTACCACAAGATCATGTTCAGCTGGATTGATACACCTGCAAACAACTTTCCCCCGCCTGTCAATGAAAACACGGTAAGGAGGGGAGAGTGGTGGATAAAAAAATAAATAGAGTCGAGTGAAAGGAGGAGGGGCAGCAGTTATCACAGAATTGTGTTGAGCTGGATTGATACGGCTACTGGGAACTTCCCTCCACCCGTCAATGAGAACATGGTGAGGGGGGCCTGGTGGATGGATGGGGTGTATGCAGCGCGATGGTACGCCGTGCCCATGTCTCCTCTCCACCATGATCTCCTCTCCACCATGATCTCCTCTCCACCATGATCTCCTCTCCACCATGATCTGCTCTGCTCTTCCCAATGTCTCCTCCTGTCCTCCCCTGCTCTTTTCCACTCCCTTCACCACCCCACTCTCTCCGTCCCTCACTGCCGCCCTCCACAAAGCAGGTGGCAGCACTGGCAGCCGTGTGGAGCCGAGTGCAGCCGGAATATGCCGCCCGCATATGGAACGAGGCCCTTAACAGACGCTTGGGGACTCAGGTGGGTGGTCAGGTGGATAGTGAGGTGAATAGCGCCACCTGTACCTGCAATCTGGGGTTGCTCTGTTGATTTTCTCGTAGCCTTTTGATGAATCCGTATGGTCGCGGCTCTGTCCTCTGGCTATATATGCAATTCCTCTTTTTGAGGCGCCTCAAAAAATCGTCGCGGCTTCATCCTCTGGCTACAGATGTATTTCCTGGTGCGTGTTGCTATTTCCTGGTGCGTGTTGCTATTTCCTGGTGCGTGTTGCTATTTCCTGGTGCGTGTTGCTATTTCCTGGTGCGTGTTGCTATTTCCTGGTGCGTGTTGCTATTTCCTGGTGCGTGTTGCTATTTCCTGGTGCGTGTTGCTATTTCCTGGTGCGTGTTGCTATTTCCTGGTGCGTGTTGCTATTTCCTGGTGCGTGTTGCTATTTCCTGGTGCGTGTTGCTATTTCCTGGTGCGTGTTGCTATTTCCTGGTGCGTGTTGCTATTTCCTGGTGCGTGTTGCTATTTCCTGGTGCGTGTTGCTATTTCCTGGTGCGTGTTGCTATTTCCTGGTGCGTGTTGCTATTTCCTGGTGCGTGTTGCTATTTCCTGGTGCGTGTTGCTATTTCCTGGTGCGTGTTGCTATTTCCTGGTGCGTGTTGCTATTTCCTGGTGCGTGTTGCTATTTCCTGGTGCGTGTTGCTATTTCCTGGTGCGTGTTGCTATTTCCTGGTGCGTGTTGCTATTTCCTGGTGCGTGTTGCTATTTCCTGGTGCGTGTTGCTATTTCCTGGTGCGTGTTGCTATTTCCTGGTGCGTGTTGCTATTTCCTGGTGCGTGTTGCTATTTCCTGGTGCGTGTTGCTATTTCCTGGTGCGTGTTGCTATTTCCTGGTGCGTGTTGCTATTTCCTGGTGCGTGTTGCTATTTCCTGGTGCGTGTTGCTATTTCCTGGTGCGTGTTGCTATTTCCTGGTGCGTGTTGCTATTTCCTGGTGCGTGTTGCTATTTCCTGGTGCGTGTTGCTATTTCCTGGTGCGTGTTGCTATTTCCTGGTGCGTGTTGCTATTTCCTGGTGCGTGTTGCTATTTCCTGGTGCGTGTTGCTATTTCCTGGTGCGTGTTGCTATTTCCTGGTGCGTGTTGCTATTTCCTGGTGCGTGTTGCTATTTCCTGGTGCGTGTTGCTATTTCCTGGTGCGTGTTGCTATTTCCTGGTGCGTGTTGCTATTTCCTGGTGCGTGTTGCTATTTCCTGGTGCGTGTTGCTATTTCCTGGTGCGTGTTGCTATTTCCTGGTGCGTGTTGCTATTTCCTGGTGCGTGTTGCTATTTCCTGGTGCGTGTTGCTATTTCCTGGTGCGTGTTGCTATTTCCTGGTGCGTGTTGCTATTTCCTGGTGCGTGTTGCTATTTCCTGGTGCGTGTTGCTATTTCCTGGTGCGTGTTGCTATTTCCTGGTGCGTGTTGCTATTTCCTGGTGCGTGTTGCTATTTCCTGGTGCGTGTTGCTATTTCCTGGTGCGTGTTGCTATTTCCTGGTGCGTGTTGCTATTTCCTGGTGCGTGTTGCTATTTCCTGGTGCGTGTTGCTATTTCCTGGTGCGTGTTGCTATTTCCTGGTGCGTGTTGCTATTTCCTGGTGCGTGTTGCTATTTCCTGGTGCGTGTTGCTATTTCCTGGTGCGTGTTGCTATTTCCTGGTGCGTGTTGCTATTTCCTGGTGCGTGTTGCTATTTCCTGGTGCGTGTTGCTATTTCCTGGTGCGTGTTGCTATTTCCTGGTGCGTGTTGCTATTTCCTGGTGCGTGTTGCTATTTCCTGGTGCGTGTTGCTATTTCCTGGTGCGTGTTGCTATTTCCTGGTGCGTGTTGCTATTTCCTGGTGCGTGTTGCTATTTCCTGGTGCGTGTTGCTATTTCCTGGTGCGTGTTGCTATTTCCTGGTGCGTGTTGCTATTTCCTGGTGCGTGTTGCTATTTCCTGGTGCGTGTTGCTATTTCCTGGTGCGTGTTGCTATTTCCTGGTGCGTGTTGCTATTTCCTGGTGCGTGTTGCTATTTCCTGGTGCGTGTTGCTATTTCCTGGTGCGTGTTGCTATTTCCTGGTGCGTGTTGCTCTTTCCTTGTGCGTGTTGCTCTTTCCTGGTGCGTGTTGCTATTTCCTGGTGCGTGTTGCTATTTCCTGGTGCGTGTTGCTATTTCCTGGTGCGTGTTGCTATTTCCTGGTGCGTGTTGCTATTTCCTGGTGCGTGTTGCTATTTCCTGGTGCGTGTTGCTATTTCCTGGTGCGTGTTGCTATTTCCTGGTGCGTGTTGCTATTTCCTGGTGCGTGTTGCTATTTCCTGGTGCGTGTTGCTATTTCCTGGTGCGTGTTGCTATTTCCTGGTGCGTGTTGCTATTTCCTGGTGCGTGTTGCTATTTCCTGGTGCGTGTTGCTATTTCCTGGTGCGTGTTGCTATTTCCTGGTGCGTGTTGCTATTTCCTGGTGCGTGTTGCTATTTCCTGGTGCGTGTTGCTATTTCCTGGTGCGTGTTGCTATTTCCTGGTGCGTGTTGCTATTTCCTGGTGCGTGTTGCTATTTCCTGGTGCGTGTTGCTATTTCCTGGTGCGTGTTGCTATTTCCTGGTGCGTGTTGCTATTTCCTGGTGCGTGTTGCTATTTCCTGGTGCGTGTTGCTATTTCCTGGTGCGTGTTGCTATTTCCTGGTGCGTGTTGCTATTTCCTGGTGCGTGTTGCTATTTCCTGGTGCGTGTTGCTATTTCCTGGTGCGTGTTGCTATTTCCTGGTGCGTGTTGCTATTTCCTGGTGCGTGTTGCTATTTCCTGGTGCGTGTTGCTATTTCCTGGTGCGTGTTGCTATTTCCTGGTGCGTGTTGCTATTTCCTGGTGCGTGTTGCTATTTCCTGGTGCGTGTTGCTATTTCCTGGTGCGTGTTGCTATTTCCTGGTGCGTGTTGCTATTTCCTGGTGCGTGTTGCTATTTCCTGGTGCGTGTTGCTATTTCCTGGTGCGTGTTGCTATTTCCTGGTGCGTGTTGCTATTTCCTGGTGCGTGTTGCTATTTCCTGGTGCGTGTTGCTATTTCCTGGTGCGTGTTGCTATTTCCTGGTGCGTGTTGCTATTTCCTGGTGCGTGTTGCTATTTCCTGGTGCGTGTTGCTATTTCCTGGTGCGTGTTGCTATTTCCTGGTGCGTGTTGCTATTTCCTGGTGCGTGTTGCTATTTCCTGGTGCGTGTTGCTATTTCCTGGTGCGTGTTGCTATTTCCTGGTGCGTGTTGCTATTTCCTGGTGCGTGTTGCTATTTCCTGGTGCGTGTTGCTATTTCCTGGTGCGTGTTGCTATTTCCTGGTGCGTGTTGCTATTTCCTGGTGCGTGTTGCTATTTCCTGGTGCGTGTTGCTATTTCCTGGTGCGTGTTGCTATTTCCTGGTGCGTGTTGCTATTTCCTGGTGCGTGTTGCTATTTCCTGGTGCGTGTTGCTATTTCCTGGTGCGTGTTGCTATTTCCTGGTGCGTGTTGCTATTTCCTGGTGCGTGTTGCTATTTCCTGGTGCGTGTTGCTATTTCCTGGTGCGTGTTGCTATTTCCTGGTGCGTGTTGCTATTTCCTGGTGCGTGTTGCTATTTCCTGGTGCGTGTTGCTATTTCCTGGTGCGTGTTGCTATTTCCTGGTGCGTGTTGCTATTTCCTGGTGCGTGTTGCTATTTCCTGGTGCGTGTTGCTATTTCCTGGTGCGTGTTGCTATTTCCTGGTGCGTGTTGCTATTTCCTGGTGCGTGTTGCTATTTCCTGGTGCGTGTTGCTATTTCCTGGTGCGTGTTGCTATTTCCTGGTGCGTGTTGCTATTTCCTGGTGCGTGTTGCTATTTCCTGGTGCGTGTTGCTATTTCCTGGTGCGTGTTGCTATTTCCTGGTGCGTGTTGCTATTTCCTGGTGCGTGTTGCTATTTCCTGGTGCGTGTTGCTATTTCCTGGTGCGTGTTGCTATTTCCTGGTGCGTGTTGCTATTTCCTGGTGCGTGTTGCTATTTCCTGGTGCGTGTTGCTATTTCCTGGTGCGTGTTGCTATTTCCTGGTGCGTGTTGCTATTTCCTGGTGCGTGTTGCTATTTCCTGGTGCGTGTTGCTATTTCCTGGTGCGTGTTGCTATTTCCTGGTGCGTGTTGCTATTTCCTGGTGCGTGTTGCTATTTCCTGGTGCGTGTTGCTATTTCCTGGTGCGTGTTGCTATTTCCTGGTGCGTGTTGCTATTTCCTGGTGCGTGTTGCTATTTCCTGGAATGGTGAACTAGAAAGGATTGTGAGTACAAATATGAAACCCTAATGTTGTGACCCCCCTATAGGCTAACCCACTACAGCCTACACAAACACAACACATATAATGTTTGACACACCCTCATAGGCAAAGTGGGGGAGACCTAGGGGTCACAAGACCAGTCAAGGCAAAGCAAGGCAACAACAAGCTCAGGGTGGATCTCAAGGATACCACACAAATTCCGAGCACAAGCTAGTGGTCACAAGACCAGTTCACATGCAGGTTTATAACAGAGCA